TTTTACATCATGCCATAAAATGTTTTATTTCATTTGGATTTCAGGTTAACCTTAAAATGTAAGAAAAACGCTGAATGGTTTTTAGAGCGTTTGCCGGCAAAAAATCTGAAAAGTGCGGCATGCATTTGTTTTCATCCTCCTTTAGACTGAAGCCCCCAAATGAAGTAAAATGCAACAAGCTGAATCCAGAAATCGCAAAGATTCAAGTCTCTTCTTTATGGAAAAGTCGCAGAGTTGTTGTTTCAAGTTGGAGGCGGCAGCATCATGCTGTTGGGATGCTTTCTTTTCTTCTTTTTTTAAAATCAAGGACAATAAACACGATCAGTGTTGGTGGGAAGATGGATGGAGTGAAACACCGGGCAGAGAGACGTTTGAATTCCAGCAGGACATTTTCATACGTCAGAATGGCCCAGTCAAAGCACAGATCTAGACCCAATTGAGGGTTTATGTCAAATCCTAAACCCTGATTATTTGGGATGTAACAATCGGACTGAGCTTGAGTTATTTTGTAAATAATGGGTAAAAACCTGAGCACAGCTGGTGAAAGTTCAACACAAATCGCTTTCAGAAGGAGCCCCGTTACCTCAGAGGAGTGCAAAATGCAAGCCACACTTTTCAGATTTTTACATGTAAATTTACCCTTTTGATTACGCACTACTTTCTGTGGCTCTTTCGCATTAAATCCTAACAAATACTTTTGAAGCTTGTGGTGGCAAGATGACATAAACATGGAAAAGTTCAACATGTGAGGAAATGTGAATTATCCGTCACTCAGCTCCCAAGTTAAACTGTGTTTTTAGAGTGTTTATGCATCAAGTCTGTGTGCACACTTGAGAGTACAACCCCGTTCACACACGAAACAACGTCGCACCTCGTCTCCCATTCACACTGTACACCCCATGTGTGTACACTGCACAATATGCCACAACACCATATGGGTAATTTTAATCATCCTTCACGTTGGACTTTATTATTCCCCCTTCCCCCCACTTTTTGCAAATCCAATACTACAATAATTGCTAAGGAGTGTAATTCATGACTAATTGATGCTGCGGTTAATTTATTAAAACTGACTTATCAATATTTCACGCGACTCCTCCATTATTCACGGCAGAACATGTGCTGAAACCTATCTGTGTCAGGCCCACGCGGGAAACGTCTGCGTTGCTCTCGCAGTCCGACGAGTTCTTAACTTTTTGTTTGTTTTTTTGTTTTGTTTTTGTGCGAGTTTTGCTCAAGAACTTTTGGGGATGAATTGACGCTGGCTTTGAGCCAGCCAGGTGGGGACGGCACAGCCGAGACGCGCTCTGAAAACACCAGGTCTGGTTGCTGGGGGGGACGTGTGGCTTCCTCTTATTGTCTTTTTTGCACATAACGTGAACACATGATTGGCAGTGATCTCAGACAAAAGAAGGCGGTAGGAATCCTTTCGCTGGATCTTTCTGTCTGCGTTTCTTCTGGTGAAGTTCAACATGCTGTCCAGGTCTGGCTTTGTTTAAGTCCCTCTGCTCAGGTCGTGCTTTACTGTCAAGTCTGTAGCCACACGCTGGCATGTCGCTATAAACAATAAATTAAACACACCAAAAACTAAAACAAACTCATTGATTTCCATTTGTATGATTTATTGTTTTCTTCTTTTTCTGTCTCTCGTTCTACCAAAACTGGATGATAAAAGTCTTCAGTCGTTGGTCTCAACTAGGTCCTTGTTTTGAAGAACTTCATAATTCATTTTCTGTGTTGTTTCTGTTGTTTTTAATGTATTTTTGATACTTAAAATGTCTTCCAGTTCCAGTGTTGAATGTTCATTAGAGCTTAAAGTTTATTGATCTTAATGTGCTCTTGCGTTATTATGAATTTGCCATTACATTACTTGAAAATGGTCTGTCATCGTTATTGCAGTCATATTTGCGTCAATTTTGTCGTCCAGCAAAATTTTGTTAAGACGACGCACCTGGTCACACAACGAGAAGCGGATGAGGTGTGTTTATTATGTATCACACTAAATATTTCATCATAACAATGTAATAAGCATCACTAAATTAAAATGAATGACGCTTAAAAAAACCCCCAAATGTGTCTGCATTTTCAGGATTTTCTCCACAATAAATGTCAATACAGTTGAAAGTATGTAGTGTGTGCAGTTTGGCGATACGAGTCACACGTCTTTATGCGACTGGTGTCCTAAAGAAGCAAAGAGGAATGTTTTTCAGGAGCGATATCTGTGTTTGTGGGTCTATGATGCAGTCACAGCCACACAGTCACCTAAAAAGACCTAATCAATAGTTTTTATTGTCACTTTTATGGTTTCACAATAGAACAACAAAACGTCATAATAAAACTTTCAGCCCATAATTCCCACCTCTAGTGCATTGCAGTGCAGCAGTAAGCACCGCCCACTCCCCCCCAACCCTCCCCCCCCCCCCCCCATCCCCCATGCCCCCCCCCCCCTCTCACTTCGTCTCGTTCCCACCCTCTGCGAGATTACCGTTGCCACAGCAACGGCCACATATTGGCTCAGAAATCACAGTGGTTGTGGGTGCCATGGCAACACATTTATGCTTGTGTTTCACTGCTGTCGGAGATGTACACACACACACACACACACACACACACACACACACACACACACACACACACACACACACACACACACACACACAGGCTTAAATGTAGGGCCTGAATGAATGTATCGCTTGTTTCTGTTTCTCTCTTTCCCCCCCAGTAAAGATTAAAGCTGCCATGATGTCGAGTCATTTTGTAAATGGCTTATGATTTATGCAGCAGATTCTGTGCACTTTGTACCGGTGCCAGGACTCTACAGGACGGGGGCTCTCAGCCGGGCACATGGGGCTGCATGAGATGGGAAGATTCAGATCATAAGAGCCTATTGGAAAATATCAATATTTAATACAGGAAGTCAAATTACAGAGACGCATCGTACGAGACACCCGAGTTACAGACGGACCGATTAGCATTACAAATAATCACTTTAAAGTCACGTCCACTCGTTTTGCTCTTTATCTTTTTTTTTTTTTTTTTTGCATATCATCATATGTAACTTGTGCATGGTTTTGATGCAAGGTTACCATGGAAACAGTCACAGGGAAAGTGAGGAGGAGATGGCAGAGCGAGCGATTGAAAGCGTTAAGATGTTTTGCGTGCGTGTGTGTGTGTGTGTGTTTGTGTGAAAGAGAAGATTTCACCTGACATGAAAATTCTTGGTTTTCTCTGCACACACTCCTACACACACGGTAACCGTAATCACCGGGAGGTTGCCAGCGAGGCGCAGCGTTCACTCCCAAGACGGATCAAGCGATCTGGTTTGGCAGAAGCAATAAGGTTTTCTTATTTTCCTTTACAAACCCAGATACGCACACGCCAAAATGCGAGATGCTTTGTCTCCACAGGCGCGGCGTCGTCCACCGGCCCTGTCGGTAAATGTTTGCTCTGTCGAAATTGCCGCTCCGTCACTTTAGATGACGAGTATAGAATGCAGCGTTCGTAAAATAATGACATTCATTGCACTGCTCTCTTTTTCTACCTGTAGCAATTCCTAAGAGTCGCACTGTAAGGCCAGTATTAAAATGAAAATCAAGTGAGACGTCTTCAAACCATCTAAAAAGTCACACAATAACAAACAGTAGCGGTTCTTGCACAAATGACTCCCTGGACAGTATTTAGGTCCCCAGTTTGGTCAATGCTAGTTTCCTGTTGTTCTGTATCAAACAGTTTTGCAATTGCCATGTTTCCATTAAATAAGAAACGCAGATTAAAATTACACACAAATGAGGTTTTTTTCACCATTAAAGTGATTTTTAAGTCATTAAAAAAACAAGCCGCGCCATCATCTTCCAATCACTTCTTGTCGTCTGCTTCCTGCTACTCCTGTTTCCGCCACTAGTAATGTCCACTTGTTGATCACGTGACTCACGATGCGAAAAAAGTGATTTTATTGCAGTGTTGTGAAATAAATTAGGACAAAAAGCTACCTTATTAGCACCCAAACTTTTGATCAAAAAACATGTTTGTTTGTTTTTTGTTTGTTTTTTTAATTGGCCTGCTTCCATTAGATAAATATATTTTCAAAATGTCAAATAAAGCTTAAAGTTTTATTTAAATACTTTTCAGTTCTAAGCTCCTGGCTGATTTTTCAGACCTTTGAGGAGAAGTATCTACATTTCTTTAATTTAAAAAAAGATGCGTCATGCCCTATATGCAATCAAGAACTGACTGAAGATATTCAAGAGTTAGAAAGAAATATAATTCTGTATCTGCATACTGATGGAACCTATTGTTTTCTTCATTTATTAAATTTGCCATGGCGAACACCCTTAATGGACACGGACGGGTGTTGCCCACATCCCCATAAATATCATTTATGGAAAACTGTGCAGATCGGGCCAAGTAATGATGAGGTCCAAGCACAGAGCCTTGGGGTACACCAAAAGAGAGTGGGAAATACTAAGTGGTTTTACTAAATTATTTTAGTTGGACCATATGAGTAAGACCACAGACAATATGACCAGACCATGGTTTTGTCAGCTGATGGTTCAGTGATGATGGTGTGGGAGATTTTGTAACTGAGATGAGGGCGGTGAGGAGTCGAGGGTTTTGCAACGTTGAGAAGATGATTGGTAACTTTTAAGAGTCATATAAATTGTGTGAAGCCATTGCCTATCAGATTGGACCAGTTCTTATAGATTATTCAGAGCAGTGGCCATGAACCTGGAATATACATGTTAATTTTGTAGAAGTATGGAATTGAAAGAGAAATAAAAATGAGAAGAAAATTGTTTGACATTGTCTAAATGACGTTTTTGAGCAAAGACCTATAAGATGTCAAAAAAAAAAGACTCTTCACTGTTTAAAAGCAACCACACCATTCAACATGATATACTTAGACATCTATTGTAAATGTAGGACATATGTAAATTGGCGCTGACAACAATGTTTTTCAGCAAGTGACGCTCTGTCCCTCTCCGCCTTGTTTCTCTCTGCAGGTACCTGATGAATGTGACATTTGAGGGGCGCAATCTGTCGTTCAGCGAAGATGGGTACCAGATGCACCCCAAGCTTGTCATTATTCTGCTCAACAAAGAGAGACAGTGGGACCGGGTAAGTCGGAGCAAGACGTGGCAGCGACTGGTTGTCTGTTTGTCATTTTCAAATATCTGGAGGAAGAGCTGTACCTGTTCCATCCATCCATTTTTTTTATTTTTTATTTTAAGCTACACTCGAAGCTAATTGTTGGCTTACCCAACAGGCGGATCGGGGGGGAGGTCTCGGTATCCGTCTCCCTGTGGACCTATTGTCGGATTTTTACCGTTTAAGCATTTAAACGACGTTAGGCGTCTGAAGCGCTGCTCTGATTAGATATCATCAACTCGGCGAAGGTGCCTTTGAGCCACTCAATTCAGCAGAAGCCTCTGACTTCGGATGTGCAGAGACTGCGGATGTAAAAGTAAATATTCAACTGTTTAATGCTGCTGTTTCAGGCGCCAGCATGTCTAGTTTAACTGTAACTTTATTTTACTATAAAATAGTGTCACTTTTTTGAAGAAGCAGAATCAGGTTGCCACAGCCTGCAAAGTCCAGTCGTTCACGTTACTTTTAGGTGACTTTATTTTATTTTTTTCTGACATTTGTCATGTTACAAGAACAAGACCCATTTAGGTTTTTGTTGTTGTTGTTTTTTTTTTTGATTTGATGTGGTAAAGCAACACAAGGTAATTTACGATCATAAAGTGTAAAGAAAATGATGCAACATTATCGGTTTTTACAAAGAAAAATCTAAAGAGTATGTTGGAGATTTATTTTCAGAACCATCTCTTGCTGCAGTTCTACCCATCGTGACTGACAGTCTTTTTTTTTTTTTTTTTAACCAGTTTATCATTTCAAGGGGAATAAAGTGTTATGAAAATCATAAATTTTCAAGTATTGATACTGATTCTGACCATATTCTGGTCAATACCTTTTTATTGAATTGTTTTTCAAATACATGTCAGAAATGTGTGCTGTGGATTTGTAATTCACGACAGACATATGAGCTTTGTGGATGAGTGTGAGGAATAAACCAACTGGAGAGAGAAAACATTAAAAAGTTTACCATAGAGCAATCCCATGGTAACACATGGTGGTTGTGGCGTCATGCTGTGGGTAAGCTTTTCTTCAGCACTGGTTAGAGTGATAAACACTTCAAATGAAGTCAAAGTCTAAACCTAAATCCACTTGAGGATCTTCATTGAAAATTAAATACTTTTCAGTACTAAGTTTAAGCTGGTGGGGAGCGAGACGGAGTCAGACGGGTCAAAAATAAATTTATCACTAATTTATTGATTAAATGTACCATGAAATAAATGGTTATACATAATAGACAATTGGTTCCAATGACTGCCATGGATGGATGGATGGATGGATGGATGGATGGATGGATGGATGGATGGATGGATGGATGGATGGATGGATGGATGGATGGATGGATGGATGGATGGATGGATGGATGGATGGATGGATGGATGGATGGATGGATGGATGGATGGATGGATGATGGATGGATGGATGGATGGATGGATGGATGTCGACTCTTCAATGTGTAAATTAACACACATTTAACATTTTGTTTTTGTTCTTTTAAATGTCACAACATCTGGCATTTTCTTAGCACTTTGGAATTGAGCTGGTGTATCACATAAGATACCAATTATAATTGTAACAATAGTACTAACATGACACTGCATATTAGATAATTGTTTTTCAAAGTGATTCGAATCATTTTCAGAACACCTTTCTAAGGGCAAAACATGAAAGAGTAAAATGTGAAACTGTAAACCTGGACATAAACTACGCAGATATAGCAGCTGTATCTGTATCTGATCAAATTCCACTATGTGTTACAGTGAAGCTCCCTTTTTTGGATGCAGTTCACAAACACTTGGAAAAAGTCTGGAGTGTCGACTTGAAAGCTTTTCATGAGCATAAAAAAACAACAACATTCCTATCTGCTGAACTTCAGTCCATTCGTAGAGACTCTGAGACTCGGCTCCACAACATATGTTCCGCGTCCTCGGGGTTAGAACCTGCAGGCTCGCTGTGTGGTACTTCTGTGTGAAGCGTGCATAATTTCCCCGAGTGTGCGTGGGTTATCTCTGCAGACTCCATTTTCCCTCCCGCAGCACAAAGACTTGCAGGTTAGGCTTAATTGCCGACTTCAGAATTCCCGTAGGTGTGGATGTGCCTGCCGATAATTGCCTGTCTTTTCAAGTCGACCCTGTGATTGACTGGTAGTCCGTCCGGAGTGCGCCGCCCGCCTCTCGAGCTATTATAGACACCCCCCTTCCCCCTCCTTAGCACAGCGGCAGCTATAGATACAGGAGGAAGCGGACTAAACAGAGCATCTATTGTTCATAAGCATGGAGGCCTTTGAACCGAAAAAGTGGGATACTATAAGGAAAAAAAAAAACACTTCAGGTAGACTTTATGTGCTGATTCAGCTTGTTTTGAACAAATCCCGGCTTTAAAAATCCGTTTTATGATATGATATAAACAGAATAAAAAGCGACGGAGTACGGCGGAGCAGAGAAGCCAGCGGTGTACATATGGCATCGATAATTCAAGCCGCCCAAAATGAACCTGTCGCCGGCCGCCACCTGCCGAGTCAGCACGCATCTGTGTTGGAGATGATCCCGCGCCGTCTGACTCCCTCACCTCTCTCTCCCCCCCACTGCTTTCTATTCTCCGTACATCTCTCCGTCTTCTGCCTCTCTAATCTATATTCTGTCCTCTGATCAGAGAACAAGGTGAGTCGTTCCCCCCTGGTCTCCCTCTTCTCCTCCACCTCAACCTCCCTGCTTTATCGCTCATGTTTAATTCCCAACTTGATTTCCAAATTTTCTCGGCTCTCCCCCCCGCCCACCCCCAACCCCCGTCTCCGACGACCTCCGGCTCCTTCTTCCCTCCGCCCCCCCTCTTCAAAGTGGTGCGGTAACGTCCGCTTCCCGTCCCTCCCTCTCGTTTCTCACACGTTTCGGTCCAGACAGGAAAAAAAAAAAAAAAAAAAAAGGAGCTGCGTTGTGCTCCAGGGACACACAGCCTCGGCCTCATCCTTTCCAGGCTGCGTTGCCAAGTTTGTGTTGTATCCTCCCCCCCAGGAGAGAGCGATGTGTTTGAACACATTTCCATGTTTAATGAGTCTGCAAACTGGACTTTACACACTTGACCACAGTTCCCTGCTCTTGGGATTAAGCTGTGGCGAATTGTCTGATCCGTTTCTACTTCAATCCCCTTCATGAAAGGGGACTGGCATGTCCAGGTAGGTTGCTTTTTTTTTTTTTTTTTTCCAGAGTGGCATTGTGGGGAAATTGACTAATTGGTGATGCTTGTTGAGTGGAGTAGAGCTCCAGGGTCTGGAGGGCCCTCCAGACATACAGCTGGACACCCTTCTACTCAAGATCCAGCATTTTGCATTTGAACGAGTTCCAAGTAAACTCTCTAACCACCCTCATTTACTTCAGATTCCCCTTTTTATTCAGCAGAAATATCTGTTTTTACAGCTTGTTTGCTTGAAATCTTCCTGTTTTTTGTTTTGTTTTCGTGATCTAAATTCTGCCCTGTCCTCTGCATCCGGCTCGTCCTTCTGGTTAACCTTGTTCTCATTCTCTACTACCAGTCCCAGTCCTGCCCCTCCCTCTCCTGCTCCTCTCTTCTCCTCTCCATATTTAAACAACGCATTTACGCAGCATGTTTGGATGCAAGCACAATCACTCAACGACAGGAGCATCTCGATGAATTTGTCATTTGAAAGTTGCTTCGTTATAGTTTTCAGATCAAAATGTAAGAACTGGGTTGAGAGGAAGTAAAAAGTGCTTTGGAAAAAGTTGCTTGACGTCCAGTCTGAAGTTTCCACAGTGCATAGCTGTTTCCATTAAAATCCTTTTCTGCATTTTTGTCTAAATAACACAATTTCACACTTGTAGTCCCATGTAAATAAGCCTGTTCACATGATAAGTAATTAAAAGTCATGGCAGCGACAGATGTAAACAGTTACATGACATTCATTCATAACTCAGTTGTGGCGCCAGGGATAATGATCTATCAGCCAGTCAGAGGAAACATCGGCTGTTGGAGCAACAAGCTCCTACTAATTTGGAGCAGCTGCATGTGCAATTTGGGGAAATTGTAGTCAGTGATTTTGCAGAAGAGTTTTATGAACTTTTTATGAACCGTGCGATGCTCTGAGAGCTCAGCTGCACCTTGTCCGAAAAAAACACAAACAAATTATCGTCCTCCTACTGCTTCCTGTCATCTTCTTTGTCGTTTTCACCAGTAGTAACATCCAACTGTTAACCGTGTGACTCGTGGTGTGAAAAATTGTTTTTATTTCAGCTTTATAAAATTTTTACAAAATCTTTTTTGACGTCACTAAATAATCACCTCAGTCTAGCGCAACAACTTTTTAGCGTGAAACCCAAGTTTTGTTTTGTTTTTTCTTCCAAATTGGCTTGTTTCCGTCAATCAAATTTCTTTTCGTACTTTCGATTTGGATAATTTCATGATCAGTGTAAACTCACCCAGTGACGATCTCAGAAGTCTTGTCATCTGCCGGTGTTGCTTTGCTGCGGTTCATTTGGTCCGTAATCCAAAGGACTCACGCTTCTCTCTGCTGACAGGCTTAATGGAGATGCTGAATAAATTTTCCAGCAGGACTTGGCATCTGCCTGTACTCACAAAGACACCAACGCCTGCTTTAATGATCAGACCAGAACCTCACACAGAATCCATCAGGCACTGTCAGGACCAAGATGAGAGACACCAAACTAAATAAGGCTGATTACCTGAAGGTCACTGTTAAAGCAACTTATACTAGATATGTTGCACTCAGCACTCAGACATTTTTGTATTAAAATCCTTCCTTTGTGGGTTATTATATAAGTTAATGTGTGTGTAATGAATCTTTACAAAATACGAGTTTCACTTCTTTAATCGACTGACTGAATTGAATTAACTTTTTGATGATATTCTAATTTTTGACATGCACCTGCGCTTCGGCACAATAATTTTCAGAATTGCATTTTCAACTTGAATGCCTGTGGACATGTTTACTTCATTGTCTTTGATTTCCTCTTTTTTCTTTTCTAACTTTTCATTATCTTCGTTTTCTTCTTTTTTTTGTTCCACTCGTCACCGTTGTGGTGATCCGGTTATCATTTCCCCGGCTTAACCCGCCATCTTTGTCTCCTTTTCATTGATTTGGCCTCTTCACTTCGCCCGCTTGAATCAGATACGGTCTATTGTTCCCGTTTGGTCAATCATGTCAATTATTCAACGGGAGAATGTGACCCGGCACCGCAAGGCAACCAGACGCACCACATTGTTGGTCTAAGCTGCCGGGTTAAGAAAACTTTTTTTCATCTCGTTTTGCCAACTTTCAGTGAGGATGAGATGCCATTCTTCAGATTCTTTTCACCTGATCTAACCTGTGTATTACACGGGCAGATGGCCCACCTGCAATAAAATGCAGGACGCTCAACATGAGGCTTTAAAATCCCAACTGGGTGAAGATGTTTTTGCTATAAGGCATGCATACTCCATATTCCTCTTTGATGATATGCCTCCAAACTATTTGTAGCTGCAGAGCAGTCGTTATTTTTTTATAGACTGAAGCTACTGTAGTGTGAAATGCGATCTGATTTCATTTTTAACTTTGATTCCTGCCAGGTGAGGCGTTCAATGCTTATAAGGACAATCGTCCAGGGCAGAGCCGGAGGGGGAACACTTAAAACTATAAAACAACAATAACAAAATAATAAATGTTTCATCTGTGTTTTACTTACAGTTTCATATAAAGGTAGTCATGCCGCATTTCAGAACCACAGTCGTTATAGGCCAACATAAAAGCAGAACTGAAAATGATGTGAGGGTTTTCTACAAAATTAAATGTTTTAAAAGCGTTTTTTTGCATTTGTTTTCATCTCTTTTACTTTAACAACAATAAGCAAACTCCAGTGCTGTCATTAACCACCAAAAAATTCCCTAAAAAGTGACAAATTGTTCATGGATGATGAGGAAATCCTTTAATCACCCGCGGCAGCCATACTGGGCGCAGAAAAAGAGCGGTGTAGGCAAACACTGCCTTTTTGACAGAGCTCATCTGGGAGTCTACTGAGGTGATCAAACGAGCTACGTCTCAGTGAAACAGGGGTAAAAAAAAACTTTGTTGAAGGGTTAATAGAGGAATGTTCCTGATAAAGCAGGAGCTTCTTAAAGAGACAGAGGCCCAATTTCAAAGTGCTAAATTGCAAAGTCAACATTTTTTTAAACTACCTTTGATGTATGTAGCAATTTTATAAAAACTGAAGGTAAGATGGTTAAATGTGCTACAAAATAGAACTATATACATAATACTGAATGCCTTTGGATGGCAATCTGTGAGAAAAACAGATGTCTTGAAGGACATCTGTTGAGTTTGTTTTCTGCACGTCTCTGCAGGTGGGTAAATGGGAGAACGGCTCCTTGTCCATGAAGTACCACGTGTGGCCTCGCTACGAGCTGTATGGAGGCGCGGCAACCAGGGAAGACGACCACCTGTCCATCGTGACGCTGGAAGAGGCTCCGTTTGTCATTGTGGAAGACGTGGACCCGCTGAGTGGGACCTGCATGAGGAATACCGTCCCCTGCAGAAAACAGATCAAAGCGCTGTGAGTCTGTGATCCAAGACACACCAAATCATGTTTAACAGAGTCGAGATTAACAAAGCGCGACGTATTTATCTTCACACATGTTGCCAGAGGTTGTTGCGTTTTGGTTTTTTGTTCTTCGTCCCCAGCCCATCTGTCACAGTAGCTGAAACTGACCGTAGCAAAATCGACATCCACAACAAAAAAGAAAAACAAAAACTGGCAGCCGAGTCAATTATGGAGGTTTCTCGCGGTTGCTTTACAGCACCGGAGGTAGAATAATTTCACACTTCAACAGTGTGAGAATGGCAAAGCCAGAAACTCTAAACAGCATTCACGAGTGAAATAGCCAATTCAGACAGATGCACATTTTGGATTAAACACTGTTTATCTCTCTGTTTATGCAGCAATCAGACCAAGGAGACGGGGATCTACATCAAGCGTTGCTGTAAGGGCTTCTGCATCGACATCCTGAAGAAGATCGCCAAGTCGGTCAAGTTTACGTACGACCTGTACCTGGTCACGAACGGGAAGCATGGCAAAAAGATCAACGGGACCTGGAACGGCATGGTGGGAGAGGTGAGGGGAAACGTCTGTACGTTTTATAACCCCCCTCCCTGTCGCTTATTTCTGTTTACTCTGCTTGTTGTTGCTCTGGCTTTCCACTTCCAGTGTTTAAACAGCGCAGATCCGACAGATTTCGCAGGTCAACAAATCCAAGTCTGTCGTATCCCTGAAAATTGTACTGCCGTGTCATTTATCATTTGTCGTGCGAAACTTGCCAATGAAGATTGCACCTGATTCACTGTTTGTGACACTGTTAATGACATTACTGAGGTTTATGGTGTTGTGAGAACCTGAGCAATCAGAGTGTGCGCTGCTGTGCTGTATTTGGCTCCATGTCAAGTGAAGACGGGGGGGGAGAGAGCTATGAAGTGTTTGAGGTCAGCACGGAAAATGCTCCATTACCAAACAGCCTTCGGTACACAGAGACCTGAAGTCAGTTTTAGTCAGTAAATAATTGTGAAAACAACAAATGATGCAGAGGGCAGGAAATGTAGTCGTCATTTGAGTCCAAACTTCAGCTGTTTTCCATTAGTGCCCTTGATTTAAAGCGATTTTGTGACTCTTCTTCAAATTTATGTTTAAGCAATTGCTCTGTATTTGGTTGGGTTTCTGTCAAGACTAAATACATTTTTGTATATTTGGATCTGTCATTGACCTAATCCCAAAACTCTATGCCCAGTATGTGAATCATTTTTCAGTCCAGTCCAAAGTTTATTTCTGCCAAGTATTTGAAAAAATGTCTTCAAATGTCACTTGTCAGGCGGAGAACATATAGAAGAATTGCACTTTAATTCTGCTGGCAAGTGTTAAGGTGACCTTTCTGTCTTTAAGAATGTTTCAGTCTCCACTACTTGACAGTACCGGATTAACTTCCCTTACTCTTGAGGAATTAAGGAGGGCTAAATGAAAGTCCTCAAGGAAAATAAAATACTTCATTAACTACCTGAACAGAGTCTATCCCTTATTTAAAATGTTATAGCTATATTTTTAGTTACATTCAGATTTTGGGGTTTTTGGATCAAAAACCTTGGCCCTTGCCAAACTACCTCTTATGCGTATTACGTCATCTTGCTTTCAGTCTGCCAAAACCAATCGCTTTGGTGTTGACAACATTTCTAATGGCCATTGGACCCATGACAAGGTTACTGTCAGTTTTCACACTTAAGTCTGTAGGTGCCAGCTGTGTTTCTGTTGACTGATCATGGCGTTTTGTTAATGAGGGAAGCGGTAAGCCAATCGATTGTACCCTAAAGGTCATCTGTTGGAAACATGCTGAGTGGCTCAACGTCTGAACGTTGACGCGAAAGACCTTCAGAAGTCACGGACATCATGCGTCTACCCCAACCCCACCAGAACTATTTTCATTCAATTTACATTAAAACCGACCAATTTAATGTCTCACGTAGAGCCATTATTGTCACCCTGCCAGCATCTTTAGTGGGTACGGAGCTGTAAATGTGGTCACCTGAAATAAACTCTGTCAGCCAGGCTAAAAGCACTGTAATGTGTCCTGTCACACAGAGGAGCAGTCATTACGGAAGACAAAGAGCTGCGTTCAAGAACCTCTCTAACTCACAGACACATACACGCCCACAGACGAAAACATTTATAAAAGATTAAAGAAAGAGGAGAGTAAGACTCAAGAGAAATTTCTCTCTATTATCTGTTTATCTACCTATTAGTGTAGCTGGCTAGTTACCATTTCAATAATCTAGCTATGTAGTTATCTACTAGTTAATTAGTTATATAGCTATCTAGCTAGTAAGCTAGCTATGTAGTTATCTAGCTAGATTTCTATGTAGCTAGCTCGATAGCTAGCTCTCTAGCTCTATAGATTGCCAATGGCTAGGGAGCTCGCTGTGTAGCTATCTATGTAGATAACTATCTAGCTAGCTGTGTAGCTATAGATGCAGCTAGCTACATATATATAAAACTAAAGACATGTTACGATATATACCTAATTTTTCAGACAAACACGTCACACAGATGCAGTGTTCTTTTAAATCAGTACACATGTAGAACATCTGTGTATAAATCTAAAGCAATTATATACTAGCCTTGCAACTAAAATGGACCGAAACAACCCAGAACCTGCAGCTACCAGTTAAGTCTGCAGCTGCAGCGATTATGGTAAAATAAAGGTGGACTGAGCCAAAGCTTTAGACAATTTGGGTCTGATTGTTGAAAAACAAAACCGGTTTTATAACAAATAAAGCTGCTTTAGATCATGATTCTGAAATGGTCCTTTTTATATGAACTGCCAAGAAAAGTGGAGTGATATCCAGCCAGAGCATTGCCACATTTGTGGAATATTATTATTATATACTTGATCCTTATTGTCTTGTTTTGATACTTCACAGTTTAGGAAAATTGGACAATAAATTCCTTCATGACATGCTTTCTACGAATCCCTGAATCACTGGGTAAAGACTTTCAGATTTGTTATTAATAAACACGTTTTATGGTGTTGACAACATATTTCTGTCTACCTACTCTTTCAACGTTGGCAAAACAAGAGTCTGTGTCAAACTGTCAATGGGCTGATTTATAGACTGACTGACACAGAGATGCTGAGCAGAGCTCGCAATTTACCACTTTTACCACTCGTCAGACTTCAAAAGATGAAAAACAAATTTTAAAAAGAGGAAATCATCAAATGCTTTGAGAGGCCCCACGCCGTTTCCTGGCTTTGTTGTGGCAGCAAGAATCTGTGTTCATGAGCCGCACCGACTCGTGCTCCAAACCTGCAATATTAAAGACAATACACTTTGAATTTCGCCTCGCTGAGAGAGTCGCAGAAGACACTGGTCAATACGCGCGCACACAAACCGAGGCACACAAACGCACACAGATCCTCGCTCAATCATTCTCAATAACACCCACATGGGTCACTTTCATAACACGGAGAGAACAAGTCGTAGGAGGGAGATGGAGAAAGCGAATGGCGAGAGGGGAAGTGAGCACACTGCTGATTCCACTCGTTCGCCTCCCCAGGGAGATGTTCGCGCACTCAGGCGCACACACGCCGGCTCCGATGCACATTTAGATCCATACTTGCATACTCTGAATAAATCTGACTGAAAAACTTACAAATGCACACAAACAACGGAACGGCAGATAATCTGCGAGGCAGACGTGTCGCATTTCCCCTGCCTGAAAAGGTCCACTTCACAGGTAGATTAACAAAGCTTCTCTCACGTCTCTTTCTCTTTTTCCCTTTATGACTCACACGGAAGTGCAGAGTGTTGAAGAGCACAGTAGAGCTTTGACTCACACAGTCTCAAACTCACACACATACACACACGCACACCTTATTAACTCAGGGAGACAATCTCGTCCCACTTTACCCCAATGCTTTAAGGCTATGAAATTTGGGTCTAAATATACCACCTGTGCAGGAGAACTGAAGGGAGTTAGGCAGGTAGTGAGAGGCACTGAACCGGCTATTTCCAGCAGCCATGACCCACTGTGGTAACCCACTTTCTTCCTCTCTCCTTCTGGCTTTCTCCCTCTTTCTGTGGCCTGGTGAGCAATCACAAGTGTCCACTCTAGAGCTCTGCGAGGAAAGTAGTTTTGCCTCCTGTCGCTACACGCCATACTGCATCTTTGTCTCCAGTGTCTCCAGTTTTAGGCCGCACTTTCCATGTATTAACTTTTGTTCCTGTTTTTGCTGAAGTGTGCCATTACGCCCTCTTTCTATCGTCTTCATTTCAACAGTAATTTCATCACCTATTGGCCGAATGCAAGTTCATGTTGGGAAAAAGAAAACTATCTGTAATCACGTTTACAAGACGGTTTCATCATAAAGTAGCAAAGAGAAGAGAAATCTCTGATGATTTATGAGGCAATGCAAACAAGTCGGCGATGTCCTACTCACATGAACTTTGAAGAATCAAGCCGGCATTGCGGAAACAAACTCATCAGAATCGATGTAAAGTGTCACACATAAAGAAAACGACAGACATGTCCCTATTGTAAAGGGCTGCACATCAATGGTGATGAAAATGTATCAGTTTGGTTCACTGAAAGAACTACCATAGGTTGAAGTTCCCCAATCTGTTCAGAGGGACCCTTCAAATGTGTGTTAATGGCAAGAGATTGTGTTTGTGAAGTCCTGCTGTGCTTGGGCCTTAAAGATGCCGGCCATCTGCTTTCAAAGACGTAATCGCTTCGTCCCACCGTAAAGCCATGAGGCTGAACATCCTCACACGAGTCATTGTATAACGAGACCCGCAAAGGGAAAAAAGGGGCAAAAGTCAAGTTTCATTTCATTTTTTTGTCTTCATGGCATAACAAAAAATTTCTTATACCATTTGTCAATAATCGATTGGAAAATCTTACTGGTATTCCAGCAGTTAAAGCCCCTTTTAGTTACTGACCAGGTTTGTTCATTTCTCCATTGGTATTTTGACAATTTATATCTGGCAACAAGCTCCAGATTTTGAGGTTAGAACAGATTGTTGATCAGACACAGGTTGAGACTTGGACTAGGCCAGTCTAACACGTTCAGATCACTTCCCGTCAGGAACTCTTAAGATTCCCAGCTGAAGTGATTTTTCTTTCATTTACTGCGTTTCTTGACTTAATACTGCTCTAGTAGTGGATTCATTTCCAATGTGTGCTTAAGCAATGGATGCCGTTTTCTTTCTCTTGCCCAGGTTGTGTTAAAAAATGCCCACATGGCTGTCGGATCCCTAACCATCAACGAGGAGAGGTCAGAGGTCATCGATTTTTCTGTTCCCTTCATCGAAACCGGAATTAGCGTCATGGTTTCCCGCAGTAACGGCACCGTTTCACCTTCCGCATTTCTAGGTGAGTAGCAATGATCAGCCGCCATCTTTAAAAGATGAATAAAACTCCTCCAGTCATTGCGTAAATGTAGAGCAGAGGTGTCCAGTGTCGGTCCTTGAGGGCCGGTGTCCTGAATGTTTCATGTTTTCCTGGTTCAGCCCACCTGAATCAAATAAGTGGTTCATTACCAGGCGTATGCAGAGCTCGGTGACATGCTGCACAAGTAATTGTACCGTTTGAAAAGGCTCGATTGGTGGATGGACACATCAGAAACATGCGCCGCACTGGGCATCAACAACCAGGATGTGCAACTGATGCTCAAATTAGATGCAGGATATGGAAAGGTTGTTACCGATGTGCAAAAACAAATATAAAAGCAACTTTTTTTATCCAAGAAGGCAACAGCAATTGCTTCCCAACTTTGTACTTGTTGGGCAGCAATTTTAGATGTTTTGTTCAAGTTAGATGAGATTCATTTGACCATCATACCTGGCTTCCTGGAAATTATCAAAAAAAAAAGTATTCAATCACTTAGTGAGGTGTGGTAACTGATGAGTACACAGCACATCATTGCTTCTCTACATTATCAAATAGTTAGCACTTACTATAGCTTATATCCATGTTACCCCCTTTACAGTCTATGAACTTACCAAATTCGGCATTCAGGCATAACTAGATCACAGCTACTCTCAATTAAGCAATCGATCAATCAATCAGTGAAGTTTATTTGTATTGGACATTTCAGCAACAAGGCAGTTCAAAGTGCTTTCCTTAAAAAAATGTAAAAAAAAAAAGTCAGAAAATCACAAAACCACCAGCAAAAATTGCATTTTGTCAACCGCCATCATCAAAATAATCAATACACATCAAATATGCTGGTCAGCGTTTCATTTATTGTGATTCAAGGGCCGTGCTACACAGCTGAGCCTTTAGCCCTGATTTAAAGGAGCTCAGTGTTTCAGGTGCTTTGCAGTTTTCTGGATGTTTGTTCCAGATTTGTGGTGTGTAGAAACTGAATGCTGCGTCTCCATGTTTGGTTTGAGTGGCCCATCCGGCTGGTTTGGTTCCATTATCTTTGATGAAGTCTTCGGACCGCTCTTTGGTTCATTCAGAACAAAAAGGCTCTTTTAATTAGACGTTGTTCTCTTGAGTGAGTTTAGCAGCTGTTTTAGTGAGATCCAAGTGTTTTTGTTTACTTCTCCTCCTTCCTAAACTGAAGGAATTAAAAGTGATTTAGCAGGTGGAAATGCATTAAAATAAGTTTTAGTAAACTTTCCCTGACAAGGTGTTCTAAGCTGCATAATTCTGCTAACTGCTTATATTTTCTCTTTCTCTCTCTTTCTCTTTGCCCTCTTATGTTTCCCACTCCTACTCAATTTCTCTGACGCTCCCTTCCTCTTTTCAATATGACATCCTACATTTGCATCTCTCTCTCTCTCTCGCGCTTCATTTTCTCTTTCTCTCTGCTGCCCTTGCTCAAGGGAAACTCTTCCTCCCTCCTGATGTTCCTCCTTTCTTCACCACCTCCCGCCTCCTTACGACTCCTTTCTGAAATATTCTTTCTGCTGCATCTCTTTCCAACCATGCTTCCTTCTTTTATCAATTCCTCGTCTTCTTCATTCATTGTCCTCATCCTCTGCACCCTTTCAGAACCCTTTAGTGCAGATGTGTGGGTGATGATGTTCGTGATGCTGCTGCTGGTGTCAGCAGTGGCTGTGTTCGTGTTCGAGTACATCAGCCCTGTGGGCTACAACCGCTGTCTGGCTGATGGCAGAGGTGAGAGTTCCCAACACACATGCGTGCATACACACATAAGTTTGTATGGCGGTCTTGGTGGGGACTTTACATTGACTTCCATTCATTTCTACAGCCTAAACCTTACCCTATACCTAACCCTAACCATTACATACCTAACCCTAGCCAAAACTCAATTCACACCTTAGTCCTAAATGTAACCCCTGACCCAAAAACAGCGTTTCAGGAGCAGTAGGTCCCTACAACGTAGTATGTCAGAAAAAAGGTCTCCACAAGGTATTACAAACAAACAAACGCACACAAAACCATAGCCGGCCCAAGGCATGGTTAAAGGCCTCCACACCACCAGGGGGTCCCCAAGAGCACTAACCTAACAGGAGAAAAAATATATGCATATACATGTATTTCAAGTAACATTGAATAATGCAAACTAAATGGAATTACACATGGCCAATGTTACTCCTTTGTTTTGTTTGTATTACATGTCCACCCACTAGGGGCACTGTTATGCAAGGAGCATATGTTATTGTTTTGTGCTCTTCTTCGGAGTTCTCTGTCTGTCTGTCTGTTTGGGGGATGTACAGGGCGGAATAAAGTTGAGCAAAGAAACGAGTTATTTTTACTGACAAGCGATTTCTACAGACATGTTGCATGTTTTTCATGTTGGGCAAAAAGACGATTCTTTTACCTCCCATCCGTAGCTGCGCTGTCGCAGTAGAACAACTCCATTAACTAAATGAAACCTGGAGACGTAGGTGATATTAATTTAGCAAAGGGGAAAGTAACGCAGAAGAACATCCACTCACATTCTCGCTCTGGGTCTGCTACGTTACTCACAGACTCTCTACCACAGCAACTGGCGACAACGCCACTGATGCATCAGGATCCAACACCGAAAAACGTGAACATTTCCCACACATCGAACAGACCATGCAGTCTGTTACATTATTATGTTTTCAGGCATGGTTTTTATGTTGTGATTATAAAGAAGTGATCACTGTGGCACATTAGCTACCGCTACTATTAGCTAATAGCTACCACACCAGTGGTTGATTAGCTAATTTAAGCACCTGCTGTACTGATGATCTGTTAGAGTTGGTGTGTTGGCCAATTTTTAATTTTTTGTACTGAAACAAAACACGTCGAATTCTGCAGCACATCTACATGTTGTAGTTGTCAAAGTCAAGCTAGCGTGACTGACCTACTTCCCTCTTTTCTCTCTTCCCTGCTATTTTTTTACATAAATACCTCTTCACCCCTGATTACTACAAAGACATTAACATCATGAAAACGATGCGATGTCAATTCCATCGCATCGTTTTCATGATTTTCTCCTGAAATAATGTAGCTATATCAGTTTTGAGAATATTGTTCAGCTCTAGTAATGGAAATTTTAAAAACTTAATAAGCTTGCTTTATTCAAAAGGGTTGTGTAGACTTTGTGGCTCCAGGCAAAATGTATTTAGCAGGAGAGAAGGTAAAAATAGTCTCTTTGGATGGTGGAGCGTACAGACCTCTGGTCTAGACGTAATCCAATTGAGAAATCTGTGACAAGATGTTAAAACTGACGTTCACGGACACTCCCTGTTCACTCAGACTGAGCTTGAAGAAGAAAAGAGGCTCAAATATTATGTAGACGTGTAAGACTTGCAGAGATGTACCTCAAATGACCTGCAGCTGTGATTGAAGTAAAAAGTGTGAACTCAGGAGAACTGAGGTAAAAAGCAGATTTTAGGCATCTGCAGAGATTAACTGTTTGGTTTCCCAGTCCTTTCTGGGGTTTTGCAAGTTTCCTAGAAAACAAACAGACATGCTAACATTTAACTCAAGATGTCAGTCAACTTTTACAGTAGGGGGAGGAAAATATTAAAAAAAACAAAAAAAAAACAGGAATTTGGAGTGAATGCAGAGAAAATGAAATTGCTCCATTAAACAAGGTTTAGATGAGTAATGCTCCAACGAGCCATTTTTTCCCAGCGATAGTACAGATGCTTCGCAGATGATGCTCCTCTTCTCTGCAACAACACAAATGCAAACTGTGTGTGTGTGTGCGTGTGTGCGTGCGTGTGTGTGTGTGTGTGTGTGTTAGCCGCACACAAAGACTGACAGGCACAGAAACACACTGCCCCCGCACGCAAACCAGCCGTTCTCACTGACCCAATGCCTTTATTCCTACATCCTCCTCCTCTTCCTCCTCCTTCTCCTTCTCCTCCTCATCGCTCTGCTCTCTTTTCATCATATGGAGCTGGATCTAAACACAGGTTTCAGCAGAACTCTGCCGCTGCTTCCCTTCACACTAGACCGGCCATTTGCATAAATTTCCATATTTCCCCCCGAAAAAAGAAAAAAACAAAGAAAATCATGACACCATGAGGCGAGTTTCGTCTTAGATCTTACCATCTGAACAGATGAGAGACAAAAAAAAAAAAAAGAAGAGGAAAATCAATCTCCCTCTAGTCTATCTCTGATGTGTCTATATATAGACAGTGGTTATCTTTTTTTTTTATCCTTCTCATCCTTCATCATCTGCTGGAGAAGATGAACTTCTCCCCACAGCCCTGTTCTCTTTCCTAGGACTCCTTGTGTTTTGTGTGTGTGTGTGTCTCTCGTTGCGTCGTGGGAGTTTGGTGTCATGAAGAGTGCAGATCGAAGTTTGCTGTCAAAGGACTTGACGCAATAATGTATCAATTAGTACATCGGCGAGTTGTAAAGACTTTGCTGGGTGCGTTTAGGCAGCTCTCCGGCTGGCAGCCTTAACAGAGGAACGTTTGGCGCCGTATGAAGTCAGATTGTCCAAGAACAAAAAACAAAACAAAAAAACGACTTTGCAACAAAATACACACTCGCACACACCCACACAAACGTAAAACACAGCAACACAGCGATCGCTTACTGCAGCATAACAGCAGCTCACAGACAAACTGAACAATTTCATTAAGGTCTGATTTGTGTCTAAGTTTCTTCTATGAATGAAGCGAAGCGATGAGAAAGCGTCATTTGTTTGTCATGGTGCAGCCACAAAGTCTGATGGATTTGTTGGATTTTATGTGACAAGTCTGAATGAAACATTTTCGTTTCATTTCTTATTTTAAAATAAATACTGAAAAGTGCAGATGCAAGTTTTCTGCTTTTTTCCCCCCCTGTAATTTCCCACATTTTTTTTCTTCTTCACAAAATCGAATGGGAGGAACCTGAAGCAGAGGTCGGTGATATGGACTTAAAAGTTTTATCACCACATTTTGTGTTAGTATATTGTGAAAATGATAAGTGACAATAATAAGGATTTATTTGTTGTTCTTTTAGTGATAATTGTTTTGTATCACTAAAACACCCAAGGTAACGGCATTTAATGTTTTAAAATTTATTGAAATGCACTGATGCACCATTGTTGTACTAATAGTGGAGAAAATTGTAAGAAAATAATCCAGACAAAACTGACAGTTTTATGGTTTAAAAAAAATATTAATTTGAATTTACTGCATCAACAATAAATCACAATCTTATCATGAGAGAAAATTTAGCACGACAAACAATATGATAAATGCTCACCTGTAATCCCAAATGTAATTTCCAGATTTCAACACGTTTTCATTTAGATTATGGTCTGAACTTTGACTAGGCCACTCTAACTGGATGGATTGAAACCTTTTGCTGTCGCTCTCTGCCATTTAAGGGTCATTATTCTGCCGGAAGGTAATCAAATAATACAATTTCCTTCCACAAATATCACTTTTAATGTTTGATCATTTGGGTGGAGTCGTTTTCAAACTTAGTAGAGTTCTGAAGAAATGTATTTATGTGAATCATAGTAAAGAGTTTGCTGGATAATGTGAGTTTCAACAAAAAATGAAAGGCCCCACAACCTTTTCATTCCCCTCTCCCCCACTAAAAAACATTAATTTTTAAATTGTAACATAGCAAAATGAAAACAAAAGCAATTGTAAATTATTTTGTAATCCACTGGTTCAGAAAGTCATCAAAATGTTTCTTTTTTTTTTAACACTCCTGGCCTGTTTCTTTCAGAGCCTCACGGCCCGTCTTTCACCATCGGTAAGGCCATCTGGCTGCTTTGGGGTCTCGTCTTCAACAACTCCGTGCCAGTCCAGAACCCCAAAGGCACCACCAGTAAAATTATGGTGTCAGTGTGGGCCTTCTTCGCTGTCATTTTCCTGGCCTCGTACACTGCCAACCTGGCTGCTTTCATGATCCAAGAGGAATATGTGGATCAAGTCACGGGTCTCTCGGACAAGAAGGTGAGGTTGAGGGTTTCTAGCCCGGAGCGGTCCCGTCCTATCACTTTAAAAAAAAAAAAAAGCTGTGAAGGTTTTTTTTTTTTACATTTCTTTTCCTGTAATTAGTTCCAGAGTCCCAATGACTTCTCTCCTCCATTCCGGTTTGGCACGGTCCCGAACGGGAGCACAGAGAGGAACATCAGGAACAACTATCCAGAGATGCACACCTACATGACGGCGTTCCATCAGAGGAACGTCAACGAAGCTCTGCAGAGTCTGAAGGCCGGGTAAAGACCCCAACATGGTTCAGACATGTTTACAACCAGACTGAAAAGCATTGTTCCCAGCAGAGATCAGGCCAGTTCTCCCAGAAGTTTTTGTTCAACATTAATTTGAAGTTCCAATGAATCGCGTAAGCTATGAGACTTTTGATTAATCTTTTTTTTTTTTTTTAAAGCAGGAGAGGAAACTGTCTTTGTGACAGTTTGAGGTTTAGGTTGTCGCGAAGCTGTTTCTTAACCTTCCACGTATTTTGGTGCGTCTTATTCAAAACCCATTGTTGAGCATTTTTCTAAAAAGCAAATCAATCAAGCAGCAATTTTTTTTTACCGCAGTAAAATATATGGATATACAGAAAAGAACTGGATGAGGCCAGACTGTACTTACAGCATAATGATGCAATGGAAATAATTACCGAATGGTGCTGAATTGACATGTATTAGTTTTTTTGAGAACTCTCTGTGAAAGAAACAAGAAGCTCATTGCCAAATAGTAGAAATGACAAAAGAAAAATCATTTTCTTTGTTACTGCATCTAAACATGAATAGGACTGTAATATGACCTTAATAATACCTTCACTCCCCCTCTTCAGTTTCCTCCTCGCGTTCCTTTTCGCCAGCCTGCGTGCCAGCCTCAGCCACTGGCAAAAGCAAGTGAAAGTCTATTACTCTTATCGGCGGCTTAGTGCTATTTAGCAGGTTAATTGGAGTGTTGTAGCTGTAGCCGTCTGACTACTAAGTGCTAATTAATTGCAACCTATCTGTCTCTCTCCCTGCCGTTCTCTTCGTCTTTCCCCTCCTTCCTCAGCAAACTGGATGCCTTCATTTATGACGCCGCCGTCCTGAACTACATGGCCGGCAGGGATGAGGGCTGCAAGCTGGTGACCATTGGCAGCGGCTACATCTTCGCCACCACGGGATACGGCATCGCCATCCAGAAGGAGTCTGGGTGGAAGAGACACGTGGACCTGGCCATCCTGCAGCTTTTTGGCGACGGTGAGCACGACCCGCCGTTTTCTGCGCCATTTTTATTCATGGATGGCGCTCTGCCTGCGACTCCATCTCGCAGGAAGGCTGCACCGATGTGATTAGCGGTTCAGCAGCATGTGAATGCATCAGATATGTGACCGTATTTTAACTGATAGCAAATTCTCAACGATCTTGACGCGAGGGGGAAAGGATGAAACCAACTTATCTGCTGATGACGCTGTCCTCGTAAGGGGAATTTCTTGTAGCTGGGGACATGAAGACGCTGCTGAAGTAAAGCATGATGGAGGAGGAAATTGGAAAAAGAGCATATTGAAAAGTTGGCTGGAAATCTATTCTAGGGATAAATCTGCAAACATCAACAAAAAAGTTGTTTAAAGTCTCTAAGAAGATCATTTTAATGGTGTTCTTGCAAAGAAAAATGCAAAAAGCAGAACAATAATGAACCACGCAGTGCTGTTCCTCTGCTCCATGCTAACCATTGCATGTGTAAGCGACCTTCTACTCATCTAATAATTTTATTAATCAGATTTAAAAGAAGTCGAAGGAGGTAGATGGCAGAAAGTAGCAGAGGTCTTCAGCAGAAGACATACAGGCAATATTCGGGTTGACAAAAAAATGACTTTTAAAGCAACAACATTGGATCCTTCTACATTTAGCTTTTGCCAGTGTGATCGAAATGCTGCCTCCAAATAAGTTCACATTTCATTAAACTGATTTTGATCCATTTAGCTGAACCGAGCTCAGCTCTAAAAGGACATGGTGACTGTTTGAAGTCAGGAGCCTTACAGCTGTCAATCTCTGATGAAAGAATCAGAGAAAATATCGGATCTAAGACAATATCCCATCTGGAAGAGGCACAAAAATAGCTCTGTTTCTGTTTGTCAAGCAAAAACACCTGAAAACTCAAAATATCACAGTGGTGAAAAACTAAAAGTTTTGTTAACAAGTGCAAAGCTGCTGTCACACTGTTTTCTATTGTGACATACATGCTGCCATTTTGAAAAGCCCTTGTTAGTTGAGTCTGAACATAAGGGCATAAATTACATTTATAGAATATGGAGTCCTGTCTTGAAAGTATGGGCATCATTTTTAATACTGTTTATACAGTTTCAACCGTCCGAGGAGGCAGAGTGAGATTAAGTGATGTCATTATTGGGCCACCGCTGGATTATTTGCCTCATAGCTGCTTTGTTTCTGCAGCAGTGATGTCTATGCAGACCCTGAGATACCAGAGCTGTGGCGCTCATGGGAGGGGGATTTCTCCAACATTTCCAGAAATATATATCTGATGACAAAACTAAGAATCCTACATTTTTAAATGGGGACGTGGAAGCTTTATTTTGCCATTACTGTTGCCTTTTGTCTTCAAGTGACAGTAAGGGACAGATACATAAAGCTGTTTATTTTCTCTGTATTTTTGGTCTCCTTTTCTGAATTTGCTGCTGTATTTGTATGAAGTACAGTGCCTTATGGGTGCAACAGCGGCATTTCCAGGGCAATGAGTTATCGTGTTTTAAGCTGTTATCCATCTGATTAGCACGTTTGAGAAAAGAAATCTGGCTTTACTAAGGAACTGGTCTCTGATTAGCTTTGCGACTTAAATGTAAAGTAGATTCAGACAAGGAAAGATAAGACCGAGCTTCAATGCAACCTGTGGTTTAGCTCCGCCGTGGGGATCCTCGGCTTTATGATCGCGCTTGGCTTTCGTAAGACTTTGCCCAAACTCTCCAGGGTTTCTGCTTTTGAAACGCTGCTTTATTCCAGCTCCGTCTTGAGCATTATTGGGTGTCTACAAGTGGCGATTAAATGTCGTCTGAATGTCGCTCTTTGTACAGATTGAAGCGGTAGAGTACAGCTAATCATTTTTATACAGAAGGTCTGTGCCACAAAGTGCTAGAAAAATATTACTGCACATGTAGGTATTTTATCTGTTACTATGGTATGTTTAAGTTTAAATCATTTGTTTAATAACATTCTCAACCATCTTTCTTGTTTTCCTGTGCTAATTAGGCCAAATAGTTGGCATTTTTCTGCTTTTCATTGATTAAATTTCAACAAACGTTTTATAATAATGGCTCTTTACATGTAATAGAATTTGTGGGTCAACAGGTGAACCAGTTCTCCCAGTCTGCGTTTCCCAGAAGCCAGTATTAGCTCAAAAACAAGCCTCCTCAGTAAGCACACACGAATGTTGGTTTAAATTTATTTAAACCAGAACCTTCTACTTTATATGTTTTTAAAACGCCGTCAAAGGGGCATGATATACTGATTTAAACATAGTTTGCCTCGAAATAAAAAGAAGAAGACATTTTAAAGTATTTTGTCTTGAGAATATTAATACTGGTTTGGTATTTTGCTTCCTCAGAGGTTAACTTATCTGCATAGGAAACAGCTGATGCTTCCTTGCTGTATTCCTCAACACCATTGTTGAGAAAGCTTGTGATCTGACTCACCGTTTCCTTCAACAACACTCACTGGGAGTATCAGTCTCCCTGTCGGTTCGCTCAACCGCTATGTTCCTAAAAATCTTGGGTGCTCTTCTTTCAGCTGATGACCGGTTTTTCGCAGCTACAGGTGGGGGCAGGGCAGCATTGCATCCATCTACAAGTCGGAGAAAACTCTGTTTAATCTGTTGCCTTTTCTGACATCTCATTAAAAAGAGTTTAAACAGCAGGAATGGTCAGACAGACATTCTTAAATGGCAGTATTATGTGTTTTCCAGGCAAATAGAGTCATTTTACAGCATGATCAAGTAATTATAAAAATGCTGTATGACTTACAATAAATTTGACTTTGCAGTTAAACATCTTGAAATTGGGCCTCTGTGTCTTTAAGAAACTCCTGCTCTTTCTGAAGTTCCTCCTACAGGAAGTCATCACAACCTCTATTAACCCTTCAACATTTTTACCAGTATTGCACTGAGAAGCAGCTCGAATAATGAATTCAGCTGATGCGCAGCTCCACCAGGTGGTTGCTAATTGCTGCTGGCTAGTCTGAAGGAACTGAGTGGGAGGGGGAGTCAAGGGGAGAGATGGAAACTGTAGGTCCAAGGAGGAACTGCGTCCAGAAGGTGGAGCGTGGTCCAACCTGGAGTTTTGGACAGTGGAATGGTTGCCATGGAGATTAAAGGATTTCTCAAACATGCATGAAAGAACCAAAACAAAACTCCTGGTACGTTTTTGATGAGGGAATAACAGGTCAAAAACATCATGTATTCGACCTGTACATGATGTAAAGGTCAAATAAGTCAATTTTCACGTTAAACTGCTCATCCAAGTTGATTTGAAACATCTTTCAAACCTTGTCGTACTGAAAGCCAACCCATGCCAGACTCAGCAGCTGCACCCGCTGTGTCATCAGGCTGACCCTTCTTGATACGCAATTAAACGCGGAACGGAAAATGTAAGAGGAGTTTAATGTGTCCGGAGGTTTTCTCGCGTCTCGGAGCCAACTCGGCTGGACGCGCTCCAGCACATTGTGAGCCTCCTGCAACGAGGGCCGTCCGGGAGCCCCGCTTCATTGTGTCCCAGTTAGGGGCGCCAGCGTAGCTCCTGGGGTATCTCGACTCTGGGCGCTGTGTGAGAGCGCATGTGTGAAGGCGCGCACATGTGAATGTGGGTCAGCCCTCTGAAAATGAGCCGATGCGTGTGAAACGAGTGAGAAAGTGTCGAGATCCTGCGTGTTTAAGGGAGATGTTGATTTCTGCCAGCCCACATCCAAAGAGTCTAATGAGTGTTCTCCATTCATCAACTCTTTACTTATCGATCACCAGTACCAACAGTTTCTGATCTAGCTACATTCGTCCCAACTTTTAGAGTCGCTCGTGTATGTTTGTACGTGAATGTGGGTCGGCTCGCTGCAACGCTCCCCCCTCCGTCCCGTGCCACTGCAGGAACCGAGTGGCCCCCATCTCACAACCTCTGAGGATTTCAATGTCACTTTGCCACGCCTCGCCGTCCACTCGGCTCCTCGTGGCCTAGAAAGGGATCCGGCTCACGCGGAAAGCCCCGTGGTTCACTGTGGAGGGAGTGTGCGGGTTGTTTGACGCAGACGGGAGCAAAATTTATATACAAGAGCTGTCCTACAAAAACGGAAACTACACATTTAATTCCAGTTTTTTTCTATAAAATAGAAAGTTTTCACGTGGCTTGACCTTTTTCTCATCAACCAAGACTTGCTGCATAACATCAGAAGATCTCAAAAAAGTTTAACCTGTTCTATGAGTGTTTTCATTGTGCTTGTCCAGATCTGAAGTGATTCTAATACCCCGAATTATTGTTGAAGATGCTCTTTACGTTCTCATCGGAAAAAGGTTTGATCAGGTTGAAATAGGCCAACGACAACAAATTCTACTGGACGATACATCATCCCAAATGATATTGCGGTAAATGATAATATTGTTGTTTTGAGACCATTTTGAAGTGATGAAAAGGTAGTGGAATAATAATGCAAGTACACGTCAAAGATCAATAAACTTTAATTTGTAACGAACATTTAACACTGGACCTGGAAGACATTTAATGAATCAAATGAACAATGAATGAGATGAACTATGACGTCTCTGTGAACAGAATTGCCTTTAAAAAAAGAGCTTGTGGAGACCAATGGACCAGACTGAAGACTTTTGTCATCCAGACTTTGGTAGAAAGATAGACAGACGCAAGAGAAATGAACAGTTGCGCAAATGGAAATTACAGAGTGCATTTTAATTTGTCACGCGATTAATTGATTTATTGCAGCAGGCTTAGTCTGAAGCTTTGAATCTTCGGTGTATTTATTCATCTAGTTCAAGTTTGATCAGTCTCAGAATTTAACAAAAAGAGACTGATGGCAGTCTGCATCTGGTGGTAAATTTGTCCTTCAACTTGTGCCATCCTCCTGATCACCCCAGCCTTTTCCGTCTAAATTTCTACATTAGTCACATCGCAGTGTTCAAAGTAGCGGCTCGTAGTGCGGAAATTACGGTACAAATCAGATACTGACTTCCACATTGGTAGCTCGTCTTGGTATTCCCACAAATAAATTGCATTTGGAGAACCGCTCTTACTATCAGAGCAGGTCGAGAACTACTTACTTTCTTATTTCGATACACAAGACAGACTAGTTTACCTTTATAATGTCATGAAATCCTTTGCTACAAAATTGTGTTACACCAACGAATCAGGGTTGCCAACTCTCTCTCTTGAAAGGCTAAAGTTTTTCCCTGTATTCCTGCCACTGCCCATTATCCCAGTTAAATCTCTGCATTCAGAGAAACTACCTCACTTGATTCACCTTTTGTCCTGCTGTTCAAAACATCTCTTAGGTTTTATCGGTGAAAGAGAGTGGGAGGTTTTCACACCATATCACCAAACTTCCTGTTTGCCTCTGCTTCCCGCAGGGATCTAGTCTCTTCATTTACAAGATGCACAGCTTCCTTTTTGTACTTCCTGCATCTCGACTACAGCTCTACTTAAAAGCAGGAAACCCTGAGAAAGAGATGCATGCATTTTTTTTTTTTTTGTCATTCAGGAACTGTTAAATTTTTCCATCGTCTTCTACAGAGATGGAAATGCGCAGCCGTGTTGTGAAGAGATTATCAGGAAATTTCATACTGTCACACATAATTACACTTTCAAAGTGAGAAAAAGTAATCTCTAATTGTCTAGTTCGTCGACGGCTCCACAGAGGAGGTGTGCCGTGCGTTTTCCGTATCTCTGCTTTCTCCTGACGGTGCAGCCGCCGCCGCTGACTGTATGATTAATTAAGCGATTCTCGCCATGCCTCTCTCTGCTCTGATTGAGAGCAGCTTGTGATGAAACAGAAGGTGACCCACAAACGGGACCGCGAGCTGACAGAGCGCCGTCACACGCACCTGTGAGCATATGCTGGGACCGAAACGTTTGATGTCATCGACGTGCGCCTGTGTGTGTTTCTGCTGGCCGCTGCCCCTCCAACCGTTCATTGAACCCTCGTTTCATCTGCTGCGTCATCATTTCGCCGTCCCACGCCAACTCTTTGCGACGTCACGCCCGTCCTCTCAGCTGTGTTTTTAATGTCCATTCCCACCACTTCCCAACCTTTCACTGTTCGCCTCCATTGTCTGTTTTAGTGCGCCATCAACTCCTTATGCCTCTCTTTCTTCCCCCCCCTCCTCATCCATCTCTCCCAGCTTCCTTCCCCCGTCATACCATCTGTTGCAGTCCTCACCTTCTCCTTGCCTCCGTCCTTCCCCTAATATTCCCTCTCTGCAATGTCATTCCCCCTCCTCCAGGTGAGATGGAGGAGCTGGAGTCCCTGTGGCTGACGGGGATCTGCCACCACGAGAAGAACGAGGTGATGTCCAGCCAGCTGGACGTGGACAACATGGCCGGGGTCTTCTACATGCTGGGCGCCGCCATGGCTCTCTCCCTCATCACCTTCATCTGCGAGCACTGGTTCTACTGGCAGCTGCGCTTCTGCTTCATGGGCGTCTGCTCCGGCCAGCCCGGCTTCGTCTTCAGCGTCAGCAGGGTGAGGAGACAGAGGGGAAAGGTGTTGGGGGGCCGAGAGGGAGCGAGGACTGCACTGTAAAAAAAAATTTAAAATAAATAAAATCTGCACATTTAACGGCCATAAACTGTAAAATTGTGACAGGAAAAAGTCGTAAGATACAAAGCAATTTAAAACTGTTTGATTTGACGTCAAGTTTCCACTAATAAATTAATGCACATTTTATAGTCACTATTTTTCCTGTAAGTTAAATTTTCTATTACAGTAAAGCATCGACTACAGCACCATTTTTAACCACAAAGCCAACAATGACGGTGCCATCTAACGCTGAAAGAGAGAAGGAAAAAGAGAAAGAAAGAAATGTTTTACCTCAGATTTTATGATGGAGTTCTGGCAACAACAGCAGCCGGCAATTTACTGTAGAAATGTACTTTTTTTTCCCTTTTTTACAGTGTAAGATGGTCCAGACGAGTTGGGTGGTCTTCATGTCCTGACATATTAAATATCTTGCACTAAAGACACTGGTAGCATCATATTGAAACATTAAACTTTGAATTCAAAAGTATTTTTTCAACCATCTACTTCCTGTAACAAATAATTCCTGAATTTGTTCCACTGATCCTTATTAGGAAGGGTCAAGGCGTATCCATATGATTGCGTGGCCTAGTCAAAGTGCAGCTTAAATCCGGTTAAAAACCTTTGCAAATCCTTGAAAATTGATGTTCACAGATACTCTGTTCAATCTGAAATGATAACAGTTTCAGTCTGTACACCGACATACCACTGAGAAAAAGTTGTTATACATTCAATACAATTTTTTATTTTTTACCTTTTACAAACTTGTATCCTTTCCCTTTACAGCTACCAAATGTATAAAAGTACAAATGGATTAAATGTTTTTTTTTTAAGTTACTGTATTTATTTTCCATTTTCTGACGGCCACAGGTTGGCAGACGTTCCCCTTCGTCGCTTACAGAAAACAACAACAAGCTCTCCTCTTTAGTTTTTGTTGTGATTCATAGGCGTTCCTGGAGCCCATGAGGTAAACATTTACAAAATGCTGAGCTGAAATCAATAATTCACTCAAGGAAGAAGAGAAAAAAAAACAGCCTCTGAACCAGCGAGGGTAGATTACCGCGTCCCGGGAGACCAAAGTCACCTCGAGGTGTTGGATTTGCATCCCAATTGTTTTGACTTGGCTGTGGTGAAATTCACTGCATGCCTCTGAAGGTGAACCTGTGCAGGCTGAACCACGTGGCTAATTTACAGCAGAGGAGCCACATGTTGCTGCTCTCTCTCTCTCTCTCTCTGCTCTCTCTCTCTGCTCTCCTCTCTCTGTTTCTCTCTCCATTCGGTGTGCCGTTACCTTGACGGAGCTGTGCAGCCAGAAAGCAAAGCTAAAATCGTCTCCATGTTCTCTGATCATGCTTGAGTGCCCAGCTTTCATTACTGTCTCCATAATGGTCGTTTTAGTTTGTTGATGTGTGTTTATGTGTAACCGTGTCTGTTTACCAGTGCCCCTCTGGAATAATACAGAGCTTCACTATTGTTTTTTTTTTTTTTTTGGTCTGAAATGAAAAAATATTTGTACTTTCAGACTATTAGCTGACAAAATGTTGTCCTCACTTCTGTCCTTCCTTGTATTGTATGTCTGTTCTTTAAAGCCTATTTGTCTCTGTTCTTACCTACTTATCCTTTATGTTCCCTCCTCCTTCTATACCTCCCTGATGTCTATGATTCCTTCCTTCCTTCTTGATTACATGCTTCTTTAACCTCCCTGGTTTTGTTCTTTTGTCCGTTGCTCTTTATTTACTTCTGAAGTTGATTCTTTCATTCTTTCCTTCCTTCCTTCCTTGCATCCATACTTTTTTCCTTTTTCCCTTTCAGTGTTGAATCCTCCATTTTTCCATACCTTCCATTTTTTCTTGTTTCTATGTTTTGCTTCTCTCTTTCCATGTGTCTTCCCTCCATTGCCTCCTTGTGTTATTCCATCTTTCTGTCCATTTGGATGTCCTTGGTTCCTTCAGTCTCTCTTCCATACTTTGAGGCTTCTTATAGCAGATGTATTAGTCATAAATCCACAGCGAGTATTTGGTCATTTATATTTTAAAACAATCGTAAAGTTACCGGGGATCCAGGTTAGCCGAATCTGGAAAAGTATTGAATTTTTTTTATGAAAAATGTGGAGCAGCCCCCGATTTCCATTTGCCTCTCAAACGCCATTTGACTTCTCATTTTCAAAGCCAAGCCGCTCACTTATGGTTTTTTTTTCTTTCCTTTTCTATTATTATTGTTATTGCATCATTACAATTTGTATGGGTGGCTGGAACAGATACCAATTAAGCTTTGTGTAACATTCAGCGATCGTCCTTAATGGCAGAAATTAGGCCCGTCCTTACCGCAGCCTGGCAAAATGAATGAGCCGCGCGTGTCCACGACTACAGTGAGATGATTCAATATGATAAAATATTCTGGGCAAACACTCATAGAAAGAAGTGATTTGCATTTAGAGCACTGGGCAGGAAAACATCAACAGGAGTTATGACTCTCTATCATCTCAGCACAACCCGACGTCCAAAGCGTCACATCGTCCATGTCTCATTTACTTTGTCTCCTCAACAGCAGCCATTTCTTCCTTCTTTCTTTTCCTCTCTCTCTTGTTCTGCTCCTCAGACAGATTCTGTTTTCTTTCATTTTATAGCCTCATCTAATAAAGCTTATTACTATTGCCGCAATTAACATTTAGGCCCGGCGCCGTGAGAAACGATATCCGTCGCGGTTGGCGTGAGTCACGCGGTCGCCCTTTAGTCTTCCCTCCCTCTGCAAGGCCTTGTGAGCGGCTCTCCTCAGACTCGCCTGGTCCTTCAGGTCCCACCTGAAAACACTCAGACAAATGAGTCGTATTGATTTAAAACGCCTCTGATGACTTCAGAACTGTAAACGTATCGGCGGTTTTAATCGCTGCCCTCTGCACAGCTCTCCCTGCAAATGATTTGGAAGTTCATTTGCGCGCCGCAGCGTACACATGCGCAACGTTTGGACCGTGATAAATTAGGAGGCGATACACGATCTGCAGTTTCGTTGCCATCTATCAGCCTGATCGCTTAAAACGTTTTCTGTGACGTCCGTGTTCGGAGAGCTGATGGTGTTCTTTATCTGTTATGGAAGGAGAGTTGTGGTGAGGTAAAGGTCTTAATTTATTGTCATCCCATCGTGTTCCTGCCCCAAACAGGAATTTGATTTGATTTCGTGTGACACACAGTAGTTCACTGCTATTTTTTATTTTTATTTTTTTCAGTCTTGGTAAGTATGGACTGGATGTTCAGTTTTCAAGTTTTGCCACTAATTCTCAACAGGATTGGGACTTTGACTGGACCATTCTAACACATAATTATTGTTTCATCTTAACTGTTTCTTCTCATTCTGTGTGTTCGGGATCATTGTTCTACTGGAAGGTAAATCTGTGCTTTAGTATGAAGGTTATGAAGGTTTTGCTTTTTAATTACTTCTACACTGTTTTCTGCTGCACTGCAAAAGCACAAAGTCTTACCAAGTATTTTTGGTGTAGTTCCTGGAGTTGAAATAAGACCAAACCAACGTAAAGGTAACTTTAAGTTAGAGATATAGGAGTTTGTTTTAAGTCTTTAATGTTGATGGAAAAGTTGTAGTTCCACTGGCAGATTATTTTACTCAGAACATTGGAATATTGTCTCATGATGAGTGAGATAATGTGCCAGTGGAACTTTTTTAAAAACCAAGATTTACAAAGTATTTCCTTAAAACAAGTTTCTGTATCTTGCTGGAAAGTTACTTGTAAGTTAGTCTTGTCTTATTTCAAATGTACTGAGATGTTCGCATTAAAAGCTATTTAGTGGGGGTTTTTTGCAGTGATTGTCTCGTATTTATCTAAATCCTCATCAACTCTCATCCACTTCCTTGCTGAGAAAACCCCTGTTCGACATGAGGCTGCCACCAACATGTTTTCCACTTTAGGGCATCCTGACTGATGTGAAATGTTAGATTCTCTCCGCATGGAGATTTGCATGCGAGTTAAAAAGTTACATTTTTGTCTCATCTGACCAGAAAACCATCTTCGTGTCTTTCTTTAGAAATCGGTCTGTGTTCGACTAATCGTCGTCTTGTTGACCGATTCCCCCACCTGTGGATCTCTGCAGCTTGTTCAGATGGCCACTAATGCTGTCTAACTCGCCCCTTAAACTAAAAAACTGCTGGAAGCAAAAACAGTAAAAATAGGTCGAATAAAATTATTCATGGATGTCATTGTTCAATGTTGAGGAAACAAGTTTATGTTCGAAAATGAGGCCAATTTCATTTTTGTTTTTAGTAACTCTTGTTAGAGTAACAAAATGTGAAAAAGTTAAAGTGACCAGAAAGTACATTTTGAGAACTATTTTTTATTTTTTGGGACAAATTCAGTAACCAGGACGAGATGCTTCTGTGTGGAAAACCCCCAAAGTATCATCAAACCAGGTGAACGGGTTTGTTTTTGTCTTTCTCCTCCTGGATCGTCCAAGTGCCTTCAGCGTCACCTACTTACCCAACAACTCTTTCTATTAACACAGTGAAATTACAGCAATACCACTGCTTGTGAAATAAATATTAGATCAAAGCCTTTTCCGCGCCGTTGCAGCAGTCCGATCACCAGAAATGTGGGAACTGTGGAAGAACTGAGAGGGTCTCGCGGAGAAGACGCCAAACAGTCAAAGATTTCTGATCCCGCAGATCCACCGAGTTTTGGCCAGTTGCCGCTACATTATCCAGAGCAACCTCCTGTGAAGGATCAGTCTTAGCGATTGATCTGCTCCTTTGAGGTTCTCATCTGTCACGCCTGGTTTGCCCTCAGCTCAACATCCATTTTTATCTGAATATTGTATCGTACATCACTGAATGCAAATGGAGCCGTTTGTCTTTCTGTCTCTGAGGGGCTCGGCTTGTCCTCCCCACCCCTAAGTGTGGCCCTTGTCTTACAGTAGGAATTGTGCTGCTGCCAGCGGCGCCAAGAGGCTTGTGAAACTGAGGTTTTTAATAACTGCCAGAGGAAATAGCTGAGCTGGATTCTAATTACATTGATTGAAGGTATTGACCAGTGGATCTGAAAGGGTTTTATAATCCCTCCGCCCGTATCAATCACCTATCGTCCGTTCTCTCTCCAGGGTTGATCAATTGCACTCTGTTTCACAGCCGCGAACGTGCTGTGAAACGTTCGCGGCTGCGAAACGTTTTGATTTTCTCCCTTATCCTGTTAAATGCAGATTCATTTATAGAATCTGCATTTAACAGGATATTTCTACACTATTTAACAATATACGACTGTTCTAACTTTTTGTCCTCTACACTCTAAGCATTTGTCAGGTTGCATTTTGGTGTAAGCTTTTTCTTTTTAAATATACTCTAATAAAACGTAGAAGGAATAATTAATGTTTATTTATTAGGTTGATAAGCAAACTTTTATTGCCTGACATATTTATTTTTTCAGCACCAGTCTTGAAATATTTCTTTAAGTGCTGCTGGTACTTTAAGAAATAGCCACTTAACGTTTGTGTTATCCTCAGCTATGTGTCTAAGGAATAACTGGAGTGCTAATTAAAGAAGCATACTCCTGTTTGAAAAAACAGAAGATCTGAACCAAAGTAGGCAGACGATTACAATTATTTCATACATGTATTTACTTTTCAGATTTAGGTTGGTGCTAACGGGGCAGTGCTGGAAGAAAACCTTTTTAGGGGCCTCTAAAGACTCAATATTGGGCTTGAGGTTCATATTCCAGACCTTGAAAATACAGAGTGTTTATGTTTCAGAATGATCCAGTCAAAGTCCAGACCTAATCCAGCGAAGATACTTTTGCAAGACACTGTACATGCAAAAATTTTGATTATGCAAATGGTGGCCAGAAGCACTGTATCATAGCTGTGCAAGAATTGTCAATCGGTGAGTTGGTGGTTCAATCCCAGCTCCATCCGCCTCTGTCGTTATATCCTTGGACAGCTCACTGCTGGTGATGGTCAAAGTGTCCGGCGGTATCTTGCCTCTGTCAGACTGCCCCAGGGTTACTGTGGCTATTATCCATTGAATGGGTGAATGACTGAAAGTAGTGTGAAGTCCTTTTAGGTCTTCTGGACTTGATAAAGCACTATACAAGAACAGGCCATTTACCATTAAAGTGCAGCACTGACAATGCTTCTCCTTCTCCGTATCTCTTTTCTACAGGGAATATACAGCTGCATACATGGGGTCCAAATCGAAGAGAAGAGCAGCTCTGCGTTGAACTCCCCATCAGCCACCATGAACAACACCCATTCAAACATCATGCGCCTCCTACGCACTGCCAAGAATATGGCCTCCCTGTCGGGGGTGAACGGCTCGCCGCACAGCGCCCTGGACTTCATCCGTCGAGACTCTTCTGTTTATGACATCTCGGAGCATCGCCGCAGCTTGGCTGGCCATTCAGACTGCAAACCTCCTTACATGCCTGAAGACAACATGTTTAGTGATTACATCAATGAAGTGGAGAGGACGTTTGGGAACCTTCATCTCAAGGACAGCAATTTATACCAGGATCACTATCTACACCACCATGGTTCAACCCCAGGGCTCACTGGTCCTCCTCCCAACAGACCCCACAGTTTGGGCAGTGCTAGTTCTCTGGAGGGTGGCATGTTTGACTGTGACAGCCTGGGTGGGGGAGTGGCTCCTATTTTCACCACCCAACCTTGCTCAGCTCTGACCCACAGGAACATGAGCAAGTTTGACCTGTTGTCTGGACAGACTCCTCCCTCAGGCCAGAGCTTCAAGGGAGGACTGCCTGATGTCTATGGGAAGTTCTCCTTTAAAGGTGGTGCCTCAAGCTCCACTTACATTCCGGGACCTAGCTACTGTGGGGGGAGAGGAGACGATGATGGAAATATACGCTCAGATGTTTCAGACATTTCCACACACACTGTAACATACGGAAACTTGGAGGGTAATGCCAAGAAGCGCAAACAGTACCGAGACAGCTTAAAAAAGAGGCCGGCCTCTGCAAAGTCCAGACGGGAACTGGACGAAATTGAGCTGGGTTATAGGAGGAAACCCTACCACATCAGCCACCACCACTACCACAGCCAACGCTCTGCCTCCCCGCCACTATTGCCCTCTGAACGCAAGCGAGGGGGTGGAGGAGGAAACGGCAATGGGAACTCTTACCTCTTCAGGGAAAAGGAGAGTGTTCGGGACTTTTATCTTGACCAGTTTCGTCCCAAAGAGGGGGTCCCTCAGTGGGAGCATGTGGACTTGACAGAGGGTCCTGGAAACAGAGATGGAGGAGTGCCAACATGCACCTCCTTGGTGCCAGTTGAAGACTTTCTGAAAAGCAAACCCAAGAAGTCTGACTCAAAGGGTGGGCCAGGGTCTGGATTGACAGGGGGAGAATGGGAGTGCAGGAACTGTCGAGCTAGTGGGGGCAAGCAGATGTCCATTCATGGAGGAGGTGGTGGGTATTCAAGTGGCATGGGCTGTGGGTCCTCAGCTGGTGGCAGCCGCCCGAGCTCTGCAACCTGCATGCGTTGTGAGGGTTGTAAAAAGACAGGAAACCTTTACGATATCAGTGAGGACAATAACCACCCCTTGGAACAAATGGGGGGAGGGAAAGGCGGGGGAGGAGTGGGAGGTATGACCGCAGGTCCTCAGGCTCAATCTCAGGCCCAGCAGAGGAGAAAGAGTGGAGGATTTGGGAAGCAGCTAAGGCGTCAACATTCATACGACACATTTGTTGACCTCCAGAAAGAAGAATCAGGTGGAATGGGAAGTCTAATGGGAGGCTTAGGGGGAGGCATGGGTGGACCTGGGATGGGAGGAATGCTGCCCCCACCAAGGAGTGTTAGTTTGAAAGAGAAAGAACGCTACATGGAAGAAAACAGCCCCTTTGCACACATATTTGAACGCCATGGGGGCTCAGAAAGGGAAAGGGACAGAGACCCATTGTTTTATGGAGGTGAGAGCCAAAAAAGCTCTGGTTCCCCATTTGGACTGTTCAGAGGAGGTGAGGGCCTCCACCGCCGCTCCATTGGAGAGAGAGACATGAGAGACAGATCTTTGATGGAAGGTGGAGGTGGGGCAGCATTCTCTTTATCCAAATCTCTTTACCCTGACAGGGTAAACCAAAACCCCTTTATACCCACCTTTGGTGATGACCAGTGTCTGATGCATGGAGCCAAACAATATTACCTGACAAAGCAACAGCAGCAGCAGCAACAACAACTTCCCCAAAACAGCAGAGGTGACTTCAGGAGTCAATTGAGTGCAACGTCATATCTGCCAGCATCTGCCACAGCTGGGGGGATGTCCAATGTGCCCCCCCGGTTCCCAAAAGAGCTCAGTCTTGGTGGGATGAACCATCACGGGTCTATGTTGGCAGTCGGACCCCCACGTCCCTTCAATGGAAGCAATGGCCATGTGTACGAGAAACTCTCTAGCATTGAGTCTGACGTGTAAGAGACAAAGAGGAAGAAGGAGGAGCGCATCAGAGGTTCAAAGTGTTTGGAGATCAGGGGTATTTCTTAGAACTAAATGGACACAAAGCAGCTTAAGATCATGGTGGCACAAAGATGACTTAAAGAGGGGTCAAATGAGTGGCAAAGGCAAAACAGGTAGAGACTGTTGTACAAGATAGAGAATGAAGATGGGAATAAAATATCAGGACATCCTTAGGGGGTTAAGGATGCTAAACCTCTCTTAAAATGGCCAAAGCTATTCTACTTTTACATCCACATACAATCAATCAACATTGTCTTTAATCTCACAAAAGCCCTACACTTCAACAAGTTCCATCCTCATAGCCACTGGTGTGCTAGAAGTCACTGTGCGTAATTGATATCTTGACAAAGCATCACCTTGTTTTAGTTTTCTACAGGGGCCACAGTTTGAGGGCTCCTGTTGGGTGCTTGTGAGGAACCACAGCAAGAGTGGCTACGGGAGAGACCTGCCCATGTACCCCTGTGACAATTTAGAGATTAGACGTCGTCACATAAGCGAGAGCCACAACACAGCCTGTCTTGGACATCTCTCCCTGAACCCTTACCCACTCCTCTTCTTCTCCGTCCCAACTTCTCCTCCGTATCTTTGACACCTCAAGAGCTGTTTGCTGATGAGAAATACAATCATGAATGATAATAAGATATTCTTATAGAAAAACAGGGTACACGAACAACAATAACGTTGTGAATAACAAAGACATTCATGCTGTTTATGGTAACTCTGCTTGTGAGACCAGACCTTTTGTTTTATATTCTGTTGGTATAGTATTTGACTATTCTCTAAATATCTGTAGTGGTTGTGTTCCATTTGCTCCTGGTGATGCCAGGAAGATTGTTCTTGGTTCGACCAACAAGCCAGAAAGACTGAGTCTTTTACTCCTGTGTTTTCTTCTGTTTTCTGTAGAATATTTTACTCCATGACCATTCGTGTATGTGCTCCAGGATTTCAAAGACACATTTGGAGTTGGGAAATTCTTGATATTTTAAGACATTCCTAATAATCAAGCACGCACATGCTTCAAAACACACACAGTTTCTTTTGTTTCTCTTCAGTTTTTTTTTTTTGTCAGTCTGAACTCGTGTTACTGTGAAGAACAACGTTTTCACCAGAAGCTACTGAGAGGAAGGACGTGCCTTAAAGGTCTCCAGTGGAAGTGTCCTCCAGTTCACACACAGCTGCACCAGAACAGACCAGCGCTCATTCAGGCTGCCCCGTGTTGCCGTCACATATGAGCCAAACCCGCTGCAGAAATTCGACAGCGGGCTGCTGATGATGATGGTTTCCATACAAGACGCTGTTTTGAGATCTTTTATACCTTCGTAAAAATATTTCATATGTCAGGTATGAATGGTGTTTTATGAACCAGACGTAATCAGGATGTCCCACTGTTACTAATAAGCTGATGTGTCTCAGTTCATAGCAACGGAAGCCTATAGACCACCTGTTTTATCCATCCTGCACAACACCTGTCACTTGGTTCTTGCTAGCACTCCTTCACATCACACCAACAGTCTGGAAGGTTCGCACAGAAAGCTTCGCTCGGACATTGTGTAAAACCAACATTATGCACTGTCACTTATGCAGACCTGCTACAATAAAGTTGTAGAAGAAGCTGGTATAAAAGGCAGGGTTGAGGAACTGGCTTGGCACCGGGAAGGCAGCTGCTTTGCAAAAGATTGTTTTTCTTTTTTACTCCGACTGTTGTAGATAGTCTTTAGCTAAAGAGGCCTCATTTATTGCACAGGACATTTTACTCAGTGTAGGTTCAGGCACTCAGTAGACATGCCTTATGATCCCTCACCCCAAGTTGATGACTCATCATGTACAGACTTCAGAGGCTTCTATTAGTTATTTGAAGGTCCGATCTATGATTGGTTGGTGTCACAAGTTCAAGGGCTGAGAGTTATCACACAGGAGTACTGGCCACAGAGAGGACCTACCGGACTGTGTGTCAAATGATTTTTTGTAATTATGTCACACCCCAATATAAAAGCACTCATGCAATAGGTTGATATGTGTGTTTGTGCGTTTGAAGAGAAGCAGACCATTATTCAACAGTAAGTGCTTTCTTTCCCCCTAATCACGCTGTTAAATATTCATTACTTCAACAGCCTCTACTCCCTAACTCCTCGGATAACACTGAGACTGATCGAGTTAGCCTTAAATCAGATGCACCCTCCCTCCCACACACACACCCCAAGACACTCCTAATAAATAACTTGGGATCTCTGGAATTTTTATACACATTTTGGAAGTTCAGGTGACCCAAACTCAGCAAGGCGGAAGAAGGGTTTAACGCAGAAATTAATGGCCAGTTAGGATTTTTGAAGTGAGGCTCTGTGATGTTATCAAGAGTAGCTTCTTTAGCTGCACAAGAAAGATCCGTTATCGCAGCGAGTTAAGTAGAACAGGGAAGAAGGTGTGACACGTCAGACACACGGCAGTTTCAACAAAAGTCTTCCTGCAGATTCGACGGTACAGCTGCCAGCTCCATCACTAGTTAAGCCAGAGTGCATCGCCTATTTTCAGCATACGGAAAAATCATAGGCATTAGCTACAACATGAATAGTAGGTGCTACAAAAATGCCACGGCAACGATCCGGTGATAACATTACTTAATTTCACGCGACACCATGCAAAGGCTCTGTTTGCTTGGAAAATTCACTCATGCTAAATACTTGGAGCGGCTCCAACACATGGGCAGTCTGACCTACTTTTTGATTATTTCAGCTTGGGATTGTTTAGCCTCTAGGGGGCGCACTTAGACCATTTATAGAGCGTTACATGTTAAGCCCAAGATGGTCAGACAGAAAAAAGTTGATGACAGAGCATATTAATATACCTTATCCCTAAATGGGACGCCACACAGTTTGCCCCAGCATACGTCTATTTTGCAAACATAAAATGTGTTTATTTCATCCGCGTTAGACAGCTGTGACATACATTTCTTTTGATAAACCAAAATAATATCAGCCTTTAATTAGCGGAAGACTCGCTGCTAATAATAAACAGGTTAGATCTGCTAATATAGTGTTTTGTTTTATTCATTGGAACGTTTTCTGGACATATTTCTGGCTCAAATCCGACCATTTCTTAGCCTTTCTATAAAGCGACTGCAACACGACGTTTTTCTGTCACAGCCAGTGCTAACTTTACAGAGCCTCGCTTCAAAAACCCAGAACTGCCCCTTTAGGAACATGAGAGACGTCGATTTGGGCATCAGTGTCAGCATTAGTACGTTCGATCTTTTTTGTGTAAATAAATATATATTTAAGAATCTTTTCACTTTGTACAGTAAAACAGACAGACAGGATGTAACTTTCAGTATGTTTTACAATTTAAGAAATAAAGCTGTGATAAAAACTCATAAAATCAACAAAAAAAAAGAATAAAAATATGCAAAATATAGAATAAGACACAAATATTACTAATCATAAGTGATATAATTGAACCTTTTTATCTTTTTCTTTAAATCTCATGTTTACTTGATTATAATAGTTTTACCAATACGGATTATGTTAAGAGTTCAGAATTTTTTTAATTATTATTATTTTCTCTAAATTGTTGCAAACTGAGGATAATTTACTGTAGGTGTAGACGTTTAGTGATTAAAAAGGGAAAGCTTAGTTTTAGGAGTCTATGTTAAGTTTCCCTTGGATTGTGTTAGACTCTATCTTTTTAAGATAAGCTCTTTCTCCATGCTTCTCGGCATAGATTCAATTATCTAAACATTTATGATACGATATTACATGTATACAGAGGTGATATTTGCATATAGAGGCAGCAGTGTCTTGTGACCCTTCGTTTCGAAGCAGCCATTCTCGTTCAAAGGTTTCTGAGGCGTTTGTGTTTCTTGTTGCCCATTTTTTTGGGGACTTGGGCTCTAAACGGTAATTGCACACAGAATTTAGAGCCATCATCGGCCCGGCCTATCCTGCTCCCTCTCTTTGTTTGGGATAGACATCACTGTGGTAATGGAAGATTACACACACACACTTAGGCACACCGGACGTTTTTCCAATGTTGATGTTGCTGAGAGTTTCGGTGAAATATTGTGGAGAAACCAACCCAAGCCGAAGTGCAGATTCATCTCCATCAGAGTGCGGCTGAAATGCATTTGTGCAACCCCTTATTAAAAGGTGAAACATTTGTTCCGTCGTGTCTCATTTTGTGCAGGCTTTCCCCCCGCTCCTTTATTTAAACTCGCGTTGCTAAACTGTGTTACTTGACAGCCTAACAGCCCTAAAATGTTTCGTATTCTCGTTCATTTTATCCATTTTGATTTATTTACTTATCTCAGGTCTTTTTATTGATGTGTCTCAGCTCTTTTGTGTGATCCTCTGCATTAGAGAGAGAGAAACGGCTTCATTAATTTGCAGCGGGTGCATGTGGGACGCCATGCATTCGGAGATGATTTTTCTCCTCCTTATTTTGTGTGGCTCTAATTCCAATAAGTCTGTGTAATCTTCTCCAACACCCCGAGAGAAGAAATTCATCTCTCCACTGTTGTTTTTTCTTTCTTTCTTTCTTCTTTTCTCTCTAACTGCTTTCGTGTCCACGGGGTTGATTGAAAAGTGAAAAATGTATCAGTGTGCACATAAACTCTGTTAGCGGTCCATTTTCTCCCCCCTCTGCAAGGCACTGAAATAATTCAAGTCATTTGCAATAAACAGCACAACCAAACAATGTTCATATTGTACTCTAAATATGCTAATTTATCAGCTCTTGTTTTACAAGAGCAGGGTAGTTAGGTAGGGCTAGTTACTGTCAGGGTGGTTAGCTAGTCCTAGCTAATGTTAGGGTGGTTAGCTAGGGCTAGCTAACATTAAGGTGGTTAACTTGTGCTAGTTAAAGTCAGGGTGATTAGCTAGTCCTAGCTAATGTTAGGGTGGTTAGCTAGAGCTAGCTAACATAAAGGTGGTTAGCTTGTGCTAGCTAATGTCAGGGTAGTTAGCTAGTCCTAGCTAACGTCAGGGTGGTAAGGTAGGGCTAGCTAACATCAGGGTGGTGAAATAGGGCTAGCTAACATAAAGGTGGTTAAATAGGGCTAGCTAACATAAAGGTGGTTAGCTTGTCCTAGCTAACGTCAGGGTGGTTAGATAGGGCTAGCAGACATAAAGGTGGTTAGCTTGTGCTAGTTAAAGTCAGGGTGATTAGTTAGTGCTAGCTAATATCAGGGTGATTAGCTAGTCCTAGCTAACGTCAGGGTGGTAAGCTAGGGCTAGCTAACATTAAGGTGATTAGCTCGTCCTAGCTAACGTCAGGGTGGTTAGATAGGGCTAGCTAACATAAAGGTGGTTAGCTTGTGCTAGTTAAAGTCAGGGTGATTAGTTAGTGCTAGCTAATATCAGGGTGATTAGCTAGTCCTAGCTAACGTCAAGGTAGTAAGCTAGGGCTAGCTAACGTCAGGGTGGTTAGCTAGGGCTAGCTAACTCTGTTGAGGTGTACCTGATACTGTTAAAACATGAGATTTTCACCCCTACAGCTCAGGTGAAGCAGATTAACTCGGGCTTGTCAGGAGTCTTTATTCCCCCTTAAGGCCAAATTGGGCCCAGTCTCCTTTTTTTGCAAAAGAGCATGTCGCATCGCATTTGGGTGGCGAAGGGCAAAACACTGTGTCCCCTCTTTCCCCAGTGTTGACACACGAAGAAGAAGTAGTAGTGGCTGTGACACGCGTATGAAAGATGTTTTTTTTCCCCTTTCTATCAGGAACAAAGACCGGAACAAGGGGAGAAAAAAAAAACGGGTGTCTGGTGACATTCACTTTCCCGACTTTGAAACTGCTTGTGTTTATTTGAAAACAGAAATAATAATGACAACAAAAAAATGAGTCAGTCATGTGATTTCATCCCATGCAGACAGGAAGAATTCAACTGTGATATTACAGAACTGATTGTTCTGAACCTTTATGTAACTCAGCAGTTCGCACTCTCATCAGTTTCTCTCTGTTCACTGAAAACATTTTTTCTGTTCCCCTTCATGTTTTAGTTACAGACGTCCGTGTGTGTTTGTCTGGGTATACTGTGCCTTGCAGAAGAATCCGTGGCTCTTAAACTTTGTCGCATGAAACTGCAATACCTTTTACTGGGATTTTATCTGATAGAGCGAGTTGAAGTTGAATTGGGGATCTGCCAAATTTCTAAGAAAAATCATCCATAGTTTTCGCCTCTATTCAATATCTACGTCTGATTACTTTTTGTTTATTGCGGCATATCGAAGAGGAAAATGGTTTTCAAACATTTCCTCAAATAAAAGGTTTTTTTTCTGTTTTTATTTAAGCGTGTCAAAGGAAACGTGGTTGAATGCAGCAAAGTGTAAAGAATTTTCTTTTAGAAGTAAAGATCTGAAATGTTGACATAACTGCTTTGAGCCACATCTACTCTGACACCCCTAAATAAAATAATTTCTCTTATTTTTTCAGAGATGGGATCAAATTACACTCTGGGGATGCTACTGGTTTTCATTTGAAGTTAAGTGATTGTGTTATTTTTTTTTAGGGGGATCAAAGAAAAGGGGTCTGAATTCAAATTTATACCACATTTATTTTTGGGAAGTTTTTTTTTTTTTTAACTATATATAAATTCCCTTCCACTTTGACAATTATACCTGGCTTTGTGTCGATTTATCACATAAAACCCCAAAATGTGTTAGAGTTTAAGGGGTCGGGATACTTTTCAATGTGCTGTATGTGTACTATCTCTTGATACTGCTTCATATTGATGCACATCAAATTTTCTACTCAACTGTGTACAGTTCTGTTCAATATTCCCGTTTTCCATCTTCACCCGCTGTCGTTCCTGAGGTGTTTCCTCGGTGTCGCATAAGGGGTTGCAACGCAATGCTTTTCCCAAAGCGAGACGAAGTCGCCGAAACCCACCGAGACCGCGTCACTCGACCACAGTGACCGCGGCTGGCGGAAGGGTAACATACGAGTAGTGTCATCATCATACACAGAACATTTGCTCCTGGCCGTCGTTTTCTCTTTTTCTTGGCCGTTTTCTTTGAAATAATGCCAAAATTTTTACAGCAGAAAAAAAAAACACAAAAACAGCTAATTGTATAGGTTCTGTATATACCAAATACTGGGGGGGAAAGTATTTACCTTCACCTTTTTTGTATTAAAAATGATTGACGTATTCTCAATAGCAAATTTAACCATGTCATGACAAAATTGCAAAAAAGGAAAAAAAACAAAAGCATCATTAAGGTACTTCTAATAAGGATAATGCCGATATCTACCATTATAAGTGCTGAAATAAGACTATTCTTTCTCTTTGTACATGATGAACAAAATGAAGTGTTGAGTATTAATAATAAAAGTATAAGTTTCAGATGGATGGCAGTGAGTTTTTTCTTGTTTGTTTCTTTTTTTTTAAATCCCTTCACTTGTTTGACTCTGCATGTCATTTGAAATGATTCATAATGTCTTTCATCAGGCGTCTTTGTGCTTTGTGTGAGCAGCACACACAACCTGTGTGTGATGCTGCCACACACAGGTTGGCGCTCTGCCGCTCCAGGCCCGCAGGACTTCCTGCAGGAGCAGAACACGACTGGAGAGGGCCGCCCGAGAAACCGCAGCCATATGGTGACGGTGCGGAGGGGCGGCTGTGGTCGGGGCCTGTCCCCCTCCGTGACCCACACTGCTGCTGGCGCTCCGCTCGAGCTCATCTGAGGCCCTCCAGCTCCTCCGGGTTCTGGCACCCTTAGCCGGTACGACAACAACCCTCTCTCAAAACGTCAAAGTTTGGCTTTTATTTATTTTGTAAAAAAAAAAAAAGTACATATTTGTTCTTGAGACGTGTTATCTGTGAAAAACGATTTTATCTCCTCCGCTTTATTTCAGTGCGAACTGGAAACAACCAATCAGAGCCAGGAGGCAGGTCTTAAAGCTGTCAATCAATCTCATATACATGCTGCTCACAATCCTTTATCCTTCAAACTTCTCCCTTTTTCTTTGCTGCAGCTGGTTCACCACAACAAAAGCCTGCTAAAGCTAGTTAGCATGGCCACCAATGATGGTGGATAAACAGTTTACTTTTCTTCTTCTTTGTCATTTTAATCTTTTCTACAAACATGTTAAAGAAGTAAAAAAAAACAAGTTTATCTGCCGTCAGTATAGTGAACAGGAAGTTTACGCTAAAACGCTCCTCCTGATTGGCTCTTTTTGACTTGCGTTTCTTCACAGGACTGGCAGTTCTTTGAGGATCTCGATCTTTTCACAGATCTTCTGTCTCATATCGCCACGACATGGTGACATTTAAATACAATTATAAAAAGCTACTTTTTATACATATATAAGAGTTGTATTGCACTGCACAAGGTGATGCACGTTTTTCAGATTTCTTAAAGTATAGATGAAAAAAGTGAGGCGCATGCTTGGATCTTTTGGGCGTCTGAGCTACGAGGAAAACCTTCATCATTTCCTGACTACAGTGGATTTAGGTCCAATGATGGTGAAGAAAAGTGAAGCAAAGTCCCGACTACATTTAACAAAGACGGCCATTTGTCGTCCACTTGGCACTCCTACCAATATGAGCTTTTCACACACATGAATATTATTCAGGACATTCTCTAAACGAGTAGACGGACAAAATGTCCCCAAGGAAATCATCTTGGGTGCTAATGATTGGAGACGAAGGCGTAATTGTCCTTAAAACCAGAAATAAAGGATAAACTTCAGTTTAACGCAGTGGTTTGGCAAGATGATTCACCCTATAAATGCAGACTTGCTTCCCCGTCCTGTGCTGAGCGGAGCGATGCGGGTTGTTGAAGCGACGTCCTGGCATTTAGTCGAGCATCTCATCCAGACTGACTCAAAGATGCATTAAGGTTTTTTTTTACAACCCCTCAGTTACATCAAACTGAGTACGTTGTGTCTGCTGGGCCTTGATGGGTCTGTTTATCAGTGGCTGGGACTCAACATTTACTTTGCCAGGTACAGTGATAAAATATTAATCGCTCCTTTTCCTGTTCAGTCTCCACTGCCCACGTTTGCAATCGGTCAAAGGCAGGTTGGGTACCGCGTGGGGAGAAAGACAGACATTACCCCGTGAGTTATGATGTTTTTAAATCAGTCTGTGTTTCTGAAGCTCTCCTGGCTTCCCCCCCCCCATCGTTTATAAAGTTTTCACTCCGCTTTAAACCCAGCTAAAACAGTTTGTTCATACGTTTTTATGTTATTATTACTGATCTTTCTTTTAAAATCAACCAATCCTAAAATCTGCTGCCTCTAAAGAGCCACAGGGCTGCACCATCCCAGCTATTCGTGGTTTCCCTCCTAGTTAAGGATGTTTCTTTAAAAAACAAATCAGCCCCCGGACAGTTTACCTTAGATTAGCAGTTAGCCCTGTTGGACGCGGCATGTCAGAAAAATGTTAAATATTATGATCCAACTCAAAGGCCTTAGCAAAATGGGAGAAACAACCTGTACTTTAGACTTGAATTGATATAGGCAATTTCCCAGGGTGGCATCAGACGATGGGGCGCACAAGAACCATATTTTAACAAACTAACATATTGCTCCGTCATTTGCACCATGGGTATGTTTTATATAGTTTTGATCCAAGTTTATCTGTACAGGCACTAAAAAGCTATCCTGAATCAACACATCTAATAAAAATGATAATTAAGAAAAAGCTTAAAGTTCTGAATTGACAAAGTTCAAATCTAAGATTGAGATGCTGTAAATGGGCTATTCATGCACCCCTGGCATGTGAATTGATTAAATTATTTTCTCACCCAAGTCAGCTTATTCTGATATTAAACAAAGTAATTCACAAGGGGCATCTCAGGTCCTAAATCCAAATCCAGTTGAACAAAACGCAGAGTGAGCTATGGAGAACAGAGAGCTCTGAACTCTGGGTAATCCAGAGAGATTCCTCAGGTCGTATCAAATTTTGCACTTTAACGTTCAAATATTCCAGGCTGAACAGAACATCTTTGTATTAAAGGTTGATTTTTTTCTGGGAGAAGAATAATTATAAAAGTTTTCTGGGAGAAGAATAATTGCAAAAGTGGGTGGTACACTTTTACATAACGTCTTAACATTACGTGTTATTTCTTCCTTCAATAAATGGAGCAGGGCTTCTATTTATTGAAGGAATAACATTGGCTAATCTAAAACTTGAATGTTTCACTCAGTTTTCAGTCTTTGGCAGCGTCTTGTTCCTTTGCTTTTGGATGGAAGGCAGGCCTGGACACATAATGAAATATTGGAGATTATTTCCTGAAGAAAGGTAAATGACAACACGGGTGTTGGTACTGTCAAACTAGGGGGCGGAGAACATGAAGATCAGAACTTGGTTACCCTGTTTCAACAACACAAGGACTCCTTTCACTGGAAATCTGCTGAAACACCAACCAAACGGATGCTTCCCAGCATCCATCCCTCCTCTTCCTACACTACTCTTCCTCTCGGCTCTTGAGCTAAGAAGTCCTTGTATCGCTCATCAGCCTGAGTTATTGGGATGATGGGGACGGTACTAAAAGCAGGAGGGGCCCTGAGAGTTATGACGAAGAGTTCACTGTCGTCTGGAGGAAGAGGACGGTAGAAAAGAGAACCGTCGTTTCATTGTAAGTCCTTAGAGGAGCTTTTAGCAAAATGCTGCTACTGTTGCGTATTATCTTTCACTTTGTTGCTCTTTCTTACATTTTTCCTGTACTTCCTCAACTGTGTTTTTCATTTTTATCTCCTCTGAACATCAACTATTAACAGTTACCTAGCAACAAGATATGTCAAAAAATAGAGAACAAGATCTAAGGCTGCAGAGAGCTTAGAGTCCATAGGCTTCTACAGTGACATTTCTATGTCGACGATGCATTTCAAGCTGAGGTAATATAAAGTAAAACATGTAAAAGGCAGAACAGGAACCCTAACCGTAACCCCTAACCCTAACCCTAACCGTAACCCCTAACCCTAACCGTAACCCCTAACCGTAACCCCTAACCGTAAATCTAACTCGATTCTTGGGTTTAAACAAACTGCAGTCGGGTTCTCCGTGTTTGACACCTGCTGATTGAGCGCATATGTCCTGCAGATGGTGAGCCAAGCATTGCTTAAGCTTCATTTTGGCCGAAAGCTGCGATTACCACGCATCGTGCTCCTCGCGAAGCGACATCAGGCGCTCGTTTCAGAACAGCACCTGGACTGCACAACGGCATATGGGGCGAAGTTAAAAAAAATAAATAAATCAACGGCACGGTATCAATAACGACGGCGAGCATATGGGAAGACTGATGCATCAGGATGACAGCATGATTTGATGAGAACCACCCGAGCCGAAGATCCGACGCAAACGCCAATCGGATCGAAACAAGATGAAACCGAGCTGAACTGACAGTCAATTTTAATAAAAGATTTTTTTATATATTTGCAAAAATAATTGAAAAATAGATCAGACTTTATGATAAAAAAAAACACATCAACATCTGTATTTTTGCTTTATATATTGATCCTAAATACTTGTTGCTTAATGTGCTAATGGCCAGGAAACAACTTAACATTAAGGAAAACTGTTTATCTGTGGCCGTGCCAGCTAGCTTTAGCATTCATAAAAGGATCCGGTGTGGTGAACCAGCTGTAGCTTAGCAGAGAGGAAGGGAAATAATGTCACAGCGTGTACACAGGTGTGATTGACAGCACTAAGACCTGCCTTCTGGCTTTTATTGGTTGTTTTTGACAGAGCAGTGCATTTCTGCAGATGGCAGAGGAGCTTATCTATTTTAGCTCGAGTTTTTTGTATCTTAAACTGTAGGAATTGCCTTTACTTTCAAAACAAAACAGTTTTTTCAAATTGTCAGAATTCTGGTTGAGGAAAGAAGACGAAGACATTTTGAAATATGTTTTGCAATTCCAAGGTTTTTCATATCAGAATAAAATGTAATCATAAATAAGGACGAATCATTTGTAAAACACAGTTTCAAACGTAATTTTATGTTTGAAAGTGACTAACAGTGAGTGGCACCACTTCTAAGGACATTGGAACAAATGCATGAAGCAATGATCATTTGGCTTTCATCCATTTTGTAAAATTTCCAAATCAGCAATTTCCCCCAAGTTCTGTTCCCGCTTCAAGTTTGCTAATTGCTTCCCTTCATAGGAGCAGTGGGAAAAAAACAAAAATTAAAAATAATTAAAAAAAAGAAGTTCCTCTACGTCTTCAAGTTTCCGGAATCATCACCATCTGGAGTGAAACAAAGACTTCCCTGATGCTCGACGCGGCTCGGCACGAACTGCCGCCGACATGACGGCGATGAGTGATCAAGATGAAGATAAGGGCGCGACGGAACATCAAGAAGTCAAGAGGTCGGCGCGCGACGCTAAACACGCACAAGGCGG